AACAGTTCAGCACGGACATGGCTCAAAGGAGGGCATTGCAGGAGCCCCAGTTCAGCGCCCCGATACAACATGGTCCCCCAAGCACCGCTACAACAAACCTCAACTTCAGCTCTGAGCCAGGGGTAGCCCCTGAGCACTGCCAGGGATAGCCCCCCAAACCAAAAAAAAAAAAACCAAAAAAACCCAAAACCTTATTTTTTGGTCTTTGGGCAACATAAGTGGTGCTCAGGACTTACTCCTGGTTCTATGCTCAGAGATCACTCCTGGTGGGTCTCTAGAGACCATATGTGGTGCCAGGGATCGAACCAGGGTTGGTTATTTGCAAGAAGCACTGAGAGTAGAACTATCTCTCGGGCCCCAAACTGAAAAACTTTCAGAAGCTCATTAGGTGCACAAAGACAACCTGGCGGTCACACACACACACACACACACACACACACACACACACACACACACACACATTGCTTGTCATATATAAATGGGTGGATTCAGGGGCCAGAGTGATCGTACAGAAGGTAGGATGCTGGCTTTGCATGCGGCCAACCTGGGTTCAATCCCCAGTCTCCCTTATGGTCCCCTCAGCACTGCCAGGATTGATTCCTGAGTGCAGAACCAGGAGGTACCCTTGAGCATCATCAGGTGTGGTCCAAATAACAGAAAAAAAAAACAATAAGTGGATTCAGGTGCACACGGGTACACACACACACACACACACACACACACACACACACACACACACAGAGCACCCCCTCATCAGCCATTCCCATCAATCCCAACATGACCCTCACCATCCTGACCACACATCCATACCTGACACTCATTTCCCAGGTTTAAACCCGTTCAGTGGGGGGAATAAAAAAGACACCCAGAAACTTGAAGCCCAAGGAAGGGACAGGAATTTGTCTGAAGGCTGTGCAGCCCAGAGGCAGTCATTAAGATAAGGGACAGTGTCATCGGGCACAGCCTTGCACTCAGTTGACCTGGGTTTGTTCCCAGAGGGGGTCTGATTCCCTGAACTCTGCCAGCACTGATCCCTGAGCACAGAGCCACGAGGAAGCTCTGAGCACCAAAAACAAAAAGAGAGTCGCTTGCTGCCCTTCAATCGGTAATAAATCATCCCCAGCTCTTCTTCTTTGGGATGACCATTGGGGACAGAGCACCGACACACAATCCCATCTGGGCTTCTACCTGCAAGGTAGGAACCGTTTCCCTGTTTTGGGAGGGAGGGAGGGAAGGAAGGAAGGAAGGAAAGAAGGGAGGGAGGGAGGAAGGGAGGGAGGGAGGGAAGGAGAAGAAAGAAGGAAGGAAGGAAGGAAGGAAGGAAGGAAGGAAGGAAGGAAGGAAGGAAGGAGGAAGGAAGGAAAGCCAGGTAGGCAGGCAGGCAGGAAGAGGGAAGGAAGGAAGGAAGGAAGGAAGGAAGGAAGGAAGGAAGGAAAGAAGGGAGGGAGGGAGGGAGGGAGGGAGGAAGGGAGGGAGGGAGGGAAGGAGAAGAAAGAAGGAAGGAAGGAAAGAAGGAAGGAAGGAAGGAAGGAAGGAAGGAAGGAAGGAAGGAAGGAAAGCCAGGTAGGCAGGCAGGCAGGAAGAGGGAAGGAAGGAAGGAAGGAAGGAAGGAAGGAAGGAAGGAAGGAAGGGAGGGAGGGAGGGAGGAAGGGAGGGAGGGAGGGAGGGAGGGAAGGAGAAGAAGGAAGGAAGGAAGGAAGGAAGGAAGGAAGGAGGAAGGAAGGAAAGCCAGGTAGGCAGGCAGGAAGAGGGAAGGAAGGAAGGAAGGAAGGAAGGAAGGAAGGAAGGAAGGAAGGAAAGAAGGGAGGGAGGGAGGGAGGGAGGGAGGGAGGGAGGGAGGGAGGGAGGGAGGGAAGGAGAAGAAAGAAGGAAGGAAGGAAGGAAGGAAGGAAGGAAGGAAGGAGGAAGGGAAGGAAGGAAGGAAGGAGGAAGGGAAGGAAGGAAGGGAGGAAGGGAAGGAAGGAAGGAAGGAAGGAAGGAAGGAAGGAAGGAAGGAAGGAAGGGAGGGAGGAAGGAAGCCTCAAGAACACAGAATTACAAAAGCCAGTGTCTGCTCATTACAGAAATTTGGGGAGGAGGAAGACAGGCTGGCGGAGATCGTGTGGTGTGGGAGGAGCCGTCAGGGGAGAGAAGGCTTTGTGCCTCAGTGTCCCCACTGGCTCGATGGCATCACCGTATTCCCCAGCACCTATGCAAGACTCAAACATGCAGTCCAGGAGATGGCTCTAAGGGCACACGCACGGCAGGGACCCCCCTGTGGGAGTGACCCCCAAACAAGATGAATTGGATGGGCTGTTCGTTTTACTCCATGCCAACAACTTTTGGTTTGCTTTGGTTTATAGCGCCCTATAGCACAGCGGTAGGGCGTTTGCCTTGCGCGCAGCCAGCCCGGCTGAGCCGGGTTTGATTCCTCCGCCCCTCTCGGAGAGCCCGGCTAGCTACCGAGAGTCATCTCGCCCACACGGCAAAGCCTGGCAAGCTCCCTGTGACGTATTCAATACACCAAACACAGTAACAACAAGTCTCACAATGGAGATGTTACTGGTGCCCGCTCGAGCAAATCGATGAACAATATCGGAGGACAGTGACAGTGACAGTGATGGCAGTGCTCAGGGCTGACTCCTGGCAGGCTCAGACCTCACAAGGTGCCAGGGTTGGGGCCGCCCCGGGCCAGGCAAGCGCCTGACCTGCTGTGCTATCTTTTTGCTGCCATTTGGGGGCATGGGGGGGCATGCTTCTCAAAAGCGCTCAGGCCCTCCCCTCCCCCCCCCAACTGATCTCTGGCTAAGCAGGCTGAGGATGTGGTACCATTTGGGATCTCTCAGGCACTCCCAGCGGTGGTGGGGGGGAGGGGGACAGGTGTTTAAAGGCCTCTAGGGCTGCACCTGACGATGCGAGGAAACCATGTGGTGCCAGGGATGGAAAATGGGGTTTGATGCAAGGAAGCATGAGCCTTAACTGCAGGCTAGCCCCGACACCCATGTTACATGATTCAACTTCTGAAGTGCTACTTACTGGGTGGGGGGAGGGTTGGGTGGCCCCCCAGCTGTGCTCAGGGCTCAGTGCTCAGAGCTCTGGGCTTAGGGACCACTCCCGGTGGGGCTCGGGGCGCCCTCTGGGATGTCGAGGATCGAACATCCAGAGCCGGCCACATGCAAGGCAAACACCCGCTGTGCTGTCTCCTCTCAGTAGGTCTTCTTAGGCGAATTTCAGAAACAAAAACTAAAGCTCAGAGAAGTTCTGTCATGTTCAAGGTCACGAGCCAGGAGCAGGAGGCAGCTGACCAAGGCCTTCTGCAGAGCGAGAGAGGGTTTCTGCGGGGCCTGCCTGGGGCAGTACGGGCACAGCCCACCCCTGAAGGCGGAGGGGCGGCGCCCCCTAGAGGAGGTCTCTGCAAAGGCAGCAGGGTGCCCGCCCTGAGTAGGGACCCCCTGTTGCCGCCCGCATAGGCTGGAGAGGGACCACGGAAGGTCTTGTCAGCTACCAGGTAGAAAAGCTCCTATTCCAGGAGCACTGCAGGGAGGGGACATATGCACGGGGCATGGGGGTGTGGGACTACGGGCAGACTAGGGGCGCAGTGGCGGGGGAGAAAGAGCTTAGCAGGTGGGGTGCTTGCCCTGCACGTGGCCAACCCCAGTTCAATCCCCAGCACCCCACACGGTCCCCAGAGCTCCACTAGGAGTGATCCCTGACCACAGAGCCAGAGTGAGCCCTGAGCACTGCTGGGGTATGGCATGAACACACTCCCTCCACACACACACACACACACAAACACACACACACACACAAACACACACACACACACAAACACACACACACACACACATGCGCGATAAGAAGAGGGGGGCAGACAGCTCAAGCGGTGACAGTCCCTGCCTCTCAGAGGGCGCTCTGGACCAATCCCCGGCATCCTCAGAGTCCCTCAGCACCCCCACAGCCAGGGGTACCCCCAACAAACAAAAAGAACAAGGTGAAAAGAGAGGCCAGAGAAATCAGGCAGCGGCTTGACTCCGCGGCACAAAGGGGTGGCCCCTGAGCACCACCAAGAGTGACTCCTGAGCACAGGACCAAGAGTCAACCCGGAGCATTGCTGCGCGTGGCCAAAAAAAACAAAAACTGGGCCAGAGAGATAGTACAGCGGGTAGGGCATTTGCCTAGCACGCGGCCGACCCGGGTTTGATTCCCAGCATCATCCCATAGCATCCCCCAGCACCGCCAGGAGTAATTCCTGAGTGACCCCTGAGGAATGACCCCTGAGCATCATGGGGTGTGACCCAAAAAGAAAAAAAAATACTATGAAAAGCAAAAAGGATAAAGTGAGCTGCCAAGCCAACAAGACATGGGGTCCCTCACCCCCAAACTGCAACCCTCCACCCCCCTGTCTCTCGCCCAGTTCTCTCCCACAAGCAGCCTTTCCCTTCCTCTAGCAGGGCTGGTGCTTCATCTTCCTCCTCCTCCTCTTCTTCCTGGACCCCGCAGCTGCCTAGGGCATTGGTACCCCCATCCCATGACACACACACCAGCTGCTTCACGCACGGGGACCCCTTATGGAATCAGCCTTTCTCCGGGTAGCCGTACAGTTCACCACCTCCCCCCAGAACAAAGCTCCATGGGGGTCCGGCCAGCAGCAACCTGCTCACCCGTGTTGCACCCCCTCTGCAAAGCGCCCACCACACGCCGCAGAATGAATGAGGCGGGCTGGAGGGGTATGAGCGGAATGGTGGGGCGATTTCAGGGGCGAGACGGGGTTTATCTCCAGAGACAGTGGGACAGTGGGGTGGGGTGGGGATGCCCCAAAGCGGTGGGAGATCACGCAGGGGTGAGACTGAAGTCACAGGGAGGTTGGGGCCAGAGGAAAGGGTGAGGGCTCGGATGTCACAGTCTGAGGCTCCCGGCCCGGCACATGCAGGAACTCCTGGTCAGCGGTCAGCCTGAATGAATCATGTCCTTCCCTCCCGACCTAACCGGACTCGGGACTCCCGGGTGGGGCAGGGACTTACCCAGGGACCAGCATCTCCAGGGGATTGAGGGGGTCACAGGTCGGGGGCCACCTGGCCGGGAGCCCAGGCGGGGACCCAAAGCGAGTCCAGAAACCCTTCTGCGCCCAGACTCTGATGCTTCTTCCTTGCTGTGGCCTGCCGGGCCAATGGCCCAGCAGGGACAGGCCCCTGGGCTAAAAATCCCCGGAAAAGGGACAGGTGGGGCGGGGCTGGCCTCAGACCGCCCACCGGCCCGGTGGCCTCGCCTTGGCCGCGGTGGCGCCACCTGCAGCTCCACCTGGCTCGGGCTGGCACTGCAGCGGGGCGGGAGGGGGCGACCGAGCAGGAAGTCACCTAGACTCCCGGGGCTGCCACCGACGTGGGGAAGGGAAGGGAAGGGCGGGAAAGAGCCCGGGAAGGTGCACGCCAGGGGACCTGCCACCTGGGCAGCTGCCCCCACGCACGCGCACGCACACACGCGCGCGCGCGCGCACGCACGGGGTGGGGGGGGGAGCGGCACGGCCCTCCCCCTGCCCAGCGCCCCCCAGGGCAGCCTGGCACCGGCTGGCAGCGGCGGCGGCGAGAACCCTGGGCTGGTGCCAGGGGAGGCGGCCGACGGAGTCCCGAGAGTGAGGTGCAGGCTAAGTCACAGGCACGTTTATTATCCCCGGGCCCTGCGGCGGCGGCGGCTCCTCTTCCAGGGCTGGGGTGGGGGGACGGCGCCGGCGTTTTCAGGAGGCGGCCACGCTGCCCCCCGACGCGGGCCCGTGCGGCGGCAGCGTCATGGGCGGCAGGAACAGGGCCTTCAGCTTGCCCGACAGGCTGGCGATCTCGGGGTCCTGGGCTTCGTAGGACTTGACCAGGCGGGCAAACTTCAGGACACCTGCAGGGGTGCAAGGGAGGGATGAGGCTCGTCGCCGCCGTCGTCGTCGTCGTCGTCGTCGTCACCCCCGCCGCACCCCCAGGGCACACGGGGCAGCTTCCTGGCCCTCCCGGGAGGCCTGGCCAGGTCCCTCGGACACACCTGGGTGCAGGCGGGGCGCGCCCCACGACCCACGACGCTGGGAGAGTGGGGATCAAACCCTTCCTGGTCTACCCCGAGAGCAACTGCACGGGATTCGGTGACTTAGAATGTCCCCAAAGCGGAGCGCTTGTCGCTCCCGGCGCTCAGCACCCACAAGACGTCTAGGTGCCAGCCAGAGCCCCCCCCACCCCAGGGAGCCCATAAACCCCACCCCCCAGATTCCCCCATGACCTCATCCAGAAACTGCACGCCCCACCCTCAAACATGAGTCGGCAGATACTGCAAAGGGGGAGGCCAAAGGGGGTCGTGCGCGCTTTCCCATCAGGGTCTCTTTCCTCCCCTCCCGAAAACGGGTTAACAAGGCGTTGGAAATGGGAACGACCCCCGGGGACCCGGGGCTTGGCCCGCCGCGAGCCGACGGTGCGCCGGGCTGTGACTGCCACCCTGTGGCCGGAAGGGGCACAACAGGCCGCGTCAGCCCAACCCACCCACCCACCCACCCACCCCTGAGCGCCCTCTCCAGCGCCCCGCGCCCCCCAGCCCCGGCCCGGAGCCGACGCACCTTCCCCGTCGCAGCTGAAACCGTACGCTTTGATGACCTCCTGCTGGATCTGCGTGGCCACCGGCAGCACGAACTGCAGCATCTTGCCCATGTCGTTGCACGCGTTGTCTCGGGCCTCGTCCATGCGCACGGCGTTTTCCGGGGCGGAGAACGCCTGGATCACCTCGGCCAGGACCACTGTGCCGCCAGGGGCACGGCGCGGAGGGTCCCGGGGTGGGCACGGCCGGCGAGCGGCGCCAAGAGGGGCAGGGAATTAGTGGATGGCACCCCGAGAAGCCGAGAGACTCGGTCTCCCCACCACCAACCGCCTCCACCCCTCCGGCCCCACCCCCGCCGCCGAGGAGGAAAAGAACTGCACCCGGAGGGAGACGGGGAGGGGGTCCCTGCGCGGCGGAATCGAGCCCCATCTCTGCTTTCTCCAGCGTCGGGGCGCCCTCCTCCCGCCAAGCCCACCCCGGAGCCTGGACCGCGTCCTCACCCTTAGCCTGCTCGGCGCTCAGGGCCGCAGGAGGGGCCGCGGCGGATGCCATGGGGGCGACAAAGGCGGCACCGCACGTGCGGGGGCCACCCGAGCAACGCTCAGGAAGAAAGGATCAGCCAGACCGGCGGGGGCGGAAGGGAAGCTGCATCAGCCCCGGCCGGAAGCGCCTCGCCGTAACCCCGGCTCCCCAGCTCCCGAGACGACGCGCTCCCAGATGCGTTAACTGCCTGGAGTAGGCGGCCGACCCAGCGCGCGCACGGAGGGGAGGGAAAAGGAAGGGTCGGGTGCACGTCCCTAAGCTAAGTCCGTTACGGACCGCGCGACTCTATTGTTAGGAACCGTGTGCGTTAGGAGGGGGCTTTCCGGTAGAGACCAGAAAGCCTGCTAGACAAATTCTAAAAGAGCTGTAACACTAAGGGAGTCACTGCCTGGGGAGAACACGGGAAATCCATAGACTCCACTCTTGGTGAGGGCGAGCGCGGAGGTACGGCTTTTAAACTCCTGCTGTTGTCTAAGTGACGAGGGACGCCCCCAACTTTCAGAGGGTTTGATGGAATTTCGAATAAATGACTGAAATCATCATTTGTAAAGTTTATGAACGTTAAAGAGGAAGTGCTATGCAAATGAGACCGGTGCTGATTGGCCGAAGGGGAACTGCTCCCACCCCTCCGGTAAGAAGGAAGACCGTGATTGGCTGCTTTCAGCAGGCACGAAAGGCGCTCTCCGGAGCTCCTCGGTCGGTCCCAGCTCGGGAGAGGCAGTGGGGAGTGTTGTCCGCAGCGGGGTGCTCTAGAGTTTCCCTTCGGTTCCTTTGAAATTGACACCCAGAGCCGCCCCTAGCTCGTCAGATCATCCCAGGGTTCTAATCCCTTTCACGGCTGCACCGCGGCTTCCTAACCGGTCCGCAAACTATTCTGCGGAAAGGATCCGGGGCTCTTGGTGGCGCGTGGCAGTGGAAAATCCCGAGTCCCAAATCTGAGTCGTTTCCTACATCGGGCGGTGCCAGGCCTCCAGCATGAAGGTTCCCAGAGGGCATTTGGGAGGGGGCACCCGGGCGGAGGATCCTGTAGCGATTCTGGCCCCAGCCCTGCAGGTGTGCAGGGTCCCTACCCCCCGGGACGTGCAGAAGAAGGCCCGGCCCTTCCCTCTTGCCTCCCAACCCCGCCCAGTCTCCACGGTTTTAGCGGAAAAACTTCCGGAGGAGCCCAGGTTCCCCTTCCCACCCTGCAACCTCCCAGCCACCCCGACCCCCCTTAGCCCGCAAAGAAACAGTCACAGCCAATCTTCCTGGGCGGGGGGGTCGTGAAGATGTTTTTTTTTTGTTTGTTTGGCTTGGGTCGTTTTTTGTTTTTTTTTTTTAAAGAGCGTCATATAGATATTTATATATATAAATTATTAATGTGGGGGAGGGGCGAGGGGCATACATCGCAGCGGGCGCGCACACAGGGGGGGCGGGGGCGGGCGTCGGGGGCCGGGGCCGGGGCGGGCGGGGGGCGCACAAGATGCTACGCAAAACAGCCACATCTAACAGATGAAATAATCACACCAACGGGGCGGGCGGGGTGGAGGGGGAGAGGAGGAGGCGGCGGCGGCAACCGGGGTTGGGGTGGGCGGGCACGAGGGTGGAAGAAAGCAGGGGGGCACAAGGAGCGGGGGGCGTGGGGGGACCTGGTCCGAGATAACTGTGCGCTCCCTGCCCCCGCCCCCGCCTCCGCCCCGTCTCCGCGGGCCGCAGCAGCCCCGGCCAGCTGTCCCTTCCTGCCGTCCCACCTCCGTCGCCCCCTCCTCGACTCTGTCTCTGTCTCGGGGTGGCGGGCAGGGGCCACGGGCGCTCTCGAGGGACGCAGGCTCTACAGCGGCTTGTCGCTCTCCTTCTTCAGGTGGCTGGGGAGAGAGGGGAGGTGGAGCAGAGAGGTGACCCCCCCCTTCCCCAGCCCCTCCCCCCGCCCGCGGGTCCCCGGACCCCTACCTGTAATAGTCCTCCTGCGCGGGGAGCGGCACGCTGTGCAGCGGGTGGTGCGCATGCAGCCACTGCTGCTGCTCCAGCGCCAGGCGCTGCAGCTCGGCCGACTGCGCGTGCATGGCCTGCAGCTGGTGGGCGGCCGACATCGGGGCCGAGAGCGAGGCTGGCAGGTCCCGGTAAGGAGCAGCTGTGGGCACGAAGGGCCGTGGGGGCTCAGGACCGACCAACTGACTGACCTGGGCCCGCGCGGAGGGGCCCCTCGCTTGAAGGCGAGCTGGCAACCCCGCGCCCCCTGGAAATGGACTTTAGAGGGCGCGGTGCTCTGGAGCACTGGGGGGGGGGGCTGCTGGGAGTCGGTGACTGCTGCACCTTGCCCAACCTGGGCCCTTGGCCCATCTCACTCCATCATCCTCTCCCGGTGTCCCTAGGGTCCTCTACCTCCCCTCCCCTCCTCCCCCCCTTCTCACTGATGTCCACTTCCGTCCTTACCAAAGAGCTGGTGACGAAGAACTTCGTTCTCGTGCAGAGGATGAGGAAGAAGAGGGTTGGGGAGGGTCCCGGCTGGGTACGGGATCCGGGTAAGGTGAGACCCTGAGGCCAGGGGGTCGATGAGAGGGTGCACCGAGGCAGAAGCTGGAGGGGAGGGGGAGGAGGGTGTCACCGGAAGGCAGGTGGGGGGGGGAAGGGAGATTTGGGGCTCAGGGGCTCCAAACTGTGAGCAGCGGGCACAGGACAAGACCCAGATTCGAGAAGGGACTTGTGGCTGGGCGGGAGGCGACGCCTGCCAGGTGTCTGAGTTAGAGGAAAGAAGCGGAAAGAGGGGCTGGAGAGACAGCGCAGCAGGGAGGGGCATTTGCCTTGCACGCTGCAGACCCAAGTTCGATTCCCAGCATCCCATAGGGTCCCCCAAGCACTGCGAGGAGTAATTTCTGAGTGCCTGAGCCAGGAGGAACCCCCGTGCATCTCCGGGTGTGACCCAAAAAGGAAAAAAAAAAAGGCAGCAGACTGCAAAGACAGAGCAAGCTCAGGTAAGGATCCAGGAGAGGGGTTGCTGGAGTGATAGCACAGGAGGGAGGGCGTTTGCCTTGCACGCTGCCCACCCGGGTTCGATTCCCAGCATCCCATAGGGTCCCCTGAGCACTGCCAGGGGTAATTCCTGAGTGCATGAGCGAGGAGTAACCCCTGTGCATCGCCGGGTGTGACCCCAAAAGCAAAAAAGAGAAAAAAAGGATTCAGAAGAGGGGAACAAGAAGGGACAGTGAGTCCAGAGAAGCAAGAAAACAGTGACAAGCAGGGAAACGGGGCCTGGCGGAAGAGGGCTGGGGGTCAAGGGAGATGGTCTCTGGGGCCTGATGGGCTACGCGATGAAGGCAGATTGATCTGGAGCGGTTCGTGCCAGACTAGAGGGTGTCCAAGCTGGAGGAGCAGGGGCGGGGCGGGGTGGGGTGGGGCGGCAGGGCCAGGCTCACCTGCGTGGATGGCGTCCTGCTGGTGGAGGTGCAGGTGGGAGTGGATGTGGGAGTGCTGGTGATGGTGGGGGGTCACGTTGAGCATCTGCAGCCGGGCCAGGGGGTCATTGCCCAGGGCCGCCACCCTCTCGGCGTGCTGCCTCTCTGCGGCCAGCCGCTCCGCGTAGGACATGTCAGGCCGCAGGGCTGGCCCGGCCGCCAGCGCCAGGCGTTCTCTCTCCAAGGGCCCCAGGCTCGGGTGGAAGGGGAAAGGGTGCAGGCCGGGCGGCCCCGGCTGCAGCGCCAGGCCCCCGTGGCGCGGGAAGGGGTCCAGGCCCGGGCCCGGCACCCCGTGCAGCGGCTCCAGCTCGCTGGGCTTCACCTCGAAGCCGGGCTTGAGGCGATCGCGGAGATCTCGCTCGCGGGCCTCGCGCTCCCGCTCCCGGGCCGCCGGGTCGCTGCTGTACAGGGCCGGGACGTTGTAGCCCAGGAGCCCCGGGTCCACTGCGCCCAGGGGCACGTAGAAAGGGTGGTTGCGATTGCTTGGAGACATGACGTGGGGCCGCGCGTATTCGCTCAGCGTGCGCAGGGCCGGAGTGTCGGGCCCCAGGTACGGGGGCACCGTCGCCACGGCGCTGCCCGGCTCAAACGGGGGCCGATGGGGCACGGGGCCGAGCGAGGGGCACTCCACGGGGGCGCGGCCCTCCTGGGCCAGCTTCTGCGGGACACGGGGAGAAAGGCCGCCGTCAGCCGGGAGCGCGTCCCGGCAGCCGCAGGCCCCCGCAGCATCACTTGCTCGGACCGCCGGGCTCCCCCAGCCCCGCCACCCGCTTCCCTTTCCCGCGTAGGGTCCAGGGGAGGGTCAGCCCGGCCCCGGCTCGCTCCCGCGCCCCGCCCCCAGGGCCGCCGCGCCTCCTCCGGGCCGCCAGGGGGCGCGCGGGCCGCCGCGCTCACCACGCTGCGCTCCAGCTCGCGCTCCTTCTCGCGCTCGCGCTCCTTCTCGCGCTCCCGCTCGCGCTCGCGCTCCTTCTCCTCGCGCGCGCGCTGCTCGGCCTCGCGCCGCACCTTCTCCACCAGGTCGGCGCGCTTCTTGGCCAGCTTGGAGCCCTCGAGCGGCACGAAGTACAGGTCGCTGCGCGCGCACGAGTTGAAGCCGCGGTCCAGGTGCTTGTTGAACCTGTGCGGGCCGCGCAGGGGGGACAGCGAGGCGCTCAGGATCGCGCCCCCCCACGCCCCCGCGGGCCGGGAGCCGTCGTGCAAAAGCACCGCCGGGACGCCCGGCAGCCCCCGCACTGCCCCCCTGTCCACTCCCGGCCCCGATCCCAGCTCTTTGCACCCCCCCACCCCCAACAGCAGCCCGCTCCCGCCGGGGCGGCTCACCTGGCCGACTGGCTGGCGTGGCTGGGCACGTCCACCACCTTGGGCGGCGGCGACGGGCTGCGCGCGGGGGGCGCGGGGCTCTCGGGGGCCTCGTACTCCTCGGCCGGCTCCTGCTTGATCTGCGCGGCGTTGAGGGCCGGGCCGGGCGCCGGGGCGCTGGGTGGGGGCGGCGGCGGCGGGGGCAGGGCGGGCAGCCCCGAGGGCCCCGCGGGGGGCAGCGGGCCCGGCCCCACGGTGGGCGAGCCCGGCTTGAAAGTCCCGGGGGCCGCGGGCGGCGAGGCGCCCCGGTAGCCCGGCGGGGTCCCCGTGCGGAAGGCGGGCGGCGACCCGGGCTTGTACCCGGGCGGGGTGGCGGTCTTGTAGGCCCCCGGGGACGGGGCCCTTTTGCCGTAGGGCGGGGGTCCCGGGGGGGAGGCGGTCTTGTAGCCGGCCGGCGACGAGGCCACCGTGGCGATGACCGTGGAGAGCGTGGCCGAGGAGGTGGTGACGGGCGGCCCCGGCGGGAAGGGGTAGGGGGCCCCGGGGGGCCCCTGGCTGGAGGACGGGTGCGGGCACGGGTAGGGCCCTTGCGAGGCGGCGCTGGAGGAGGAGGACGAGGAGGAGGAGGAGGATGCGGACGCGGGGGGCGCGCCGGGGCCCGCCGGGCTGTTGTAGGGCGCCTGGCCGTGCGGCGGGGGCAGGTGCGCGGGGCCGGGCGGGTAGGGCCGCAGGGAGCCCAGGGACGGGGACATGGCGTAGGGGTGCGCGTGGTGCCCGGCGCCGCCCTCCAGGGGGTGCGGGTAGGGCCCGGGCGCGGCGGGGCCCGAGCCGCCGTGATGCTGCGGCGCGGGCGGCGGCGGCGGGGGCGGCGGGGCCGGCGGCGCGGGCGGCTGTTGCTGGTGGTGATGGTGATGGGCCGGGGCGGGCGGGTGGCCCGCGGCCTGGCCCCCGGCGTTGGGCGGGAAGGGGCCCGGGTGGGCGCTGCTGTTGGCCAGGAGGCGGCCGTAGGGGGGCGGGGGCGGGGGTCCCTGGCTCCACACGGCCTGGGCGGGGAGGGAGGGCTGCGTGTACTTGGGGGGCTGGTTGGAGACCGAGAGGCCGGCGGGGGGCGGGAAGGAGTGGGGGTAACTGGGCAGCGCCTGGGACGCCGGGTACTGGGAGGCCGAGGAGGGGGCGGACGAGGAGGCCGCGGCGGCGGAGGAAGAGGAGGAGGAGGAAGAGGATGAAGAGGAGCTGGAGGAAGCTGCCGCCGAGCTACTGCTGGGGGCCGAGTACGGGTACCGCATGGGGGGCGCCGCGGCCGAGGAGGTCGGGGGCAGCGGGTGCGGGGAGGGGGCCAGGGTGGGCCCCTTGTCGGGGCCCGGAGGCAGTCCGCCCATGCCCTGCGCCAGGCCGTGGGGCGAGGGCAGGTGCCCCGGCCCTGGCCCCGGCAGCGGCTGGGCGCCCAAGCCCGGGGGAGACGCCGAGGCGTTGTTGAGGGGTCGCAGGGCTGGCGGGGGGCGGCAGGTTGGGGGCCACGTGGGGGAAGGGGGCCGGCGGGGCCGCCGAGGGCAGGGGACCGCCGCCCGCCGCCGCGTGGGGGGGCTTGGCCGCGAGGGCGCCGCCCGCCCCGGAGCTGGGGATGGAGATGGGCGTGGTGGGCGGTGGGTGCTGCTTGCCCCCACTCGGGCCCCCCACGGAGGAGGCGGCCCCCGCGCCGGCCTTGGGCCCCAGGGGGGCTCCGGACAGGACGCCCCCCGCGCCCCCGGGGTAGAGCTGCGGGTGCGGGGCCGGGGCCCCTGGGGGCGCCTGGAACAGGCGGGCGGGGGGCGGCTCCAGGGGCGCGTGGTAGCCGGGGGTCGTCACGGCCGGGTGCGGCTCGAAGCCGGGCTCCGGGGGTCCCCGGGGGGTGCCGTCGGCGGCGGCGGGCGGCGGCGGGGAGGGCGGGAAGAGCGGCGGCGGGTGGTAGGGGCGCGCGGGGGCCCTGGGACAGGCCCGAGGAGGAGTCGGAGTCGTTCTCCACGCTGCCGGGGCTGTAGATGCTGGGGGACGTGCTGCGGTTGTCCTGGTCGATGTCGCGAGGGTCGCTGCTGCCATCGTCGTTGAGGCTCCGCCCGTCCAGGCTGTCCAGGTCCGAGGGAGACTGAGGCCGGGGGAGCTCCTGCTGCAGAAGAGGCAGGGCCATTTCCCCTTTGCCTTTCTGCGCCCCCGGGGGTCGGGCCTCACTTCCCCCTCGCGGCACCTGGATCCAAGGGGGGGGAGGGGCACGTCCTCAGCTGCTCCCCGGAGCTCGTGTCCAGCCCCCTGCCCCGGCCACCCGCCTCTCACTTTCTCTGAGCCTGGGACTCCATGGCCAGAGAACCTGCAGGAAGCCCCTCCTGCGGGTTCCTTCTGACTTACAGGCATCCACACCCCACACACACACCCCCGACCCTCCTCCCAATCCCTCCGGGAAGATCAAGACCCAGGAAGGAGAGGGGAGCCTTCCCCGACCACCCTGCCAGTGAGTTTCCTCTGCCCTTCCCTGCAGAGCCTGGTGAGAGGCGGCCACAATGGTCAGAAAAGTGGGGGGGGGAGCAAGGGTTTCCCACCTCGGTCTTGGTCTTTTTGGGGGCGCTGGTCTCTTCACTCTCGCTCTCTGAGATCTCTTCGCTCCGGCCCTGCTTGCTGGCCTTTGGGGCAGAGGCCTCTTCTACTCGGGCCTTCTGTGGGAGGAAAGCGAAGAGTCCAGCCTCGGGCCTGCACCGTCAGCGGAGGCCAGACAGGAAGTCTCCGCTGCACACCACCCGCGCCCCTGGCCCCCGCGCGGCCCCCCGGGAGGAGCACCTTGGCTGTCTGCCTAGACTTCTCAGCTTTGCCATCGCTGCTGGACGTGCTGACCCCTCCGGGGGAGGCCCGGCCCCTCGATCTCAGTTCTTCCCGGGGCCCGGGGGCCTCTTTCTTCCGTCCACTCCTCATCGACATCTGGGGAGAAGGCAGAGCAGCTGGAGGAGGCTGTCCGCCAGGGCCGAGCTCTGGGGGCCCCTTCGCCCGCCATCTCCTGGGCCCTGCTACTCACTGAGTCTTTATTCTGTCGCGTCTTCATTCTTCAGGCTGTGGAGACCCCATTCTCCTCTGCCTGGGCAGCTGAATCCAGAAAGTTCTCTGCTTCACCCCAATCCCCGCCCAGCGGCGGCCTGGGAAGTGGGGACGAAGGTGCCAGCAGGTTCCCGCTGGGCCCTGGGAACTTGCAGCCAAGGTGTGGGTGAAGCCTGTGGGGCGAAGCACATCGGGCATCCCAAGTTGGTGAAGGGGACTCTGGCAGAGGGGTGGGGGTGGGGCACACAAGGGAAAAGACCACCCCTGGCCTGAAGCGCAGACACCTTGGGTTGGCCCCCAGCGCTGCCTCTGGCTCTGCCACGTTCTCCCTGGGGAGCCCCGAGCCAGGCCGGCACTCACACTGTTTTCCCCTGGTGCTCTTCGGGGAATATGTGCGCATGCGTGCAGAAATACCAGCACCTTAGCAAGCCGCACAAAGACACGCAACTCAGGTACCAAATGGGAGCTGGCATCCCTGGATAGGAGCAAGCTCTGACTTCAACAACTGCATTCGGCATTTGCCCCCAGCCCGGAAACGAAAGGGGGATGTTTTGTGTTTTGTCCTCGCTGTTTTGGGGGGCACCACAGGCAGTGCTCAGGGCTGACTCCTGGCGCTGCGACTCAGGGATCACTCATTGTGGGTTCAGGGAACCCTCTGGGGTGCTGGGGATCGAACCCAGGTCAGCCACGGGCAAGGCAAGCACCCTACCTGCTGTACTATCACACCAACCTCGACACACAGGTAATCTTAATGAGCCTTATCATCTCAGGGAAGAGACTGAGGCCCACAAGATTGCAGTGGTAACTTGCTCTACCCACTTCACGTGCCCAGTGCAGGGCAAGGACCTGAAGAACAGAACCAGCATCAAGCCTGCACAGCCCCTCCAAGCCCACATGCCGCCCCAACTGGGCTAGACCATCAGAAGCTGATGGGGAGAGTTCTCAGAAGGCCTGATTGGTCCCAGAGATATGAAAAGAATCTTTTTTCACAGCAGGAGGTGGAAGAAGAATGCCCCATTCTACAGCCCTGGGGGCTGGGGAGAGAGCTCAGGGCTGAGACAGGCGCCACCCCTGGGCCCTGGGCCCTGGGCGGAAGTAGTAGCCCAGGACAACCAAAGTGCAGACCCTTGCTGAACCCAGGTTCAAGTGTACAAGCCGGTGTCCACCTGAGAACCTCAGAAAGTGCCTTCTCGAGGGCCAGAGACATCACAGGCCCCGCACGCAGCCTGGTTACCTGAGCACCGCCAGATAAGGTTCTAGAAACAAAAAGAAGGGGCCCTCTTGGGGTCCAAGAGATGGCACAGCGGGTAGGGCGCTTGCCTTGCATGCGGCTGACCTGGGGCGGATCCCCAGCATCCCAGCTGGTCCTGTGAGCCCTGCCAAAAGTGATCCCTGAGAGCTCTGAGCACTGCCAAGTGTGGCAACCCCCCAAAGGGGAGTCTTCTCTAACTGGGGAGCACACGCGCACAGATCTGTACCCCCACGAGCCCACTCTCCTCCTCACAGCCTACTTCCTGCCTACAGAGCACATGCACCTCTCCGCTAGAACCCACCAGAACACCTTTGGAGAACAAAAAGCTGTCTGCTTCCTCCCTCCCCTCCAGGGCCGTCATTACCTGCAAGCTCTGTTCTTGGCCCTCTAAACTCATGAACCTCAGAGCCCAGCAGTAGTACAGCAAGCAGGGCACTTGCCTTGCATGCGGCCAACTCAGCACCCCCCATCTGGTTCCCTGAGCCCCCCTGCCAGGAGTGATCCCTGAGCACCACCTATAGGTGTGGCCCAAAACACACACAAAAAAGAAACTCACAAACGTCCCTAACAAGGTGCATAGTGGCCTCCTGTTGGGAGGCTGGACACATCTGGCAGTGAGGTGGCCCTTCCCTCCCAGAGTCAGTACTTGGCACTCACCTCCCTGCCCCCTGCCTAGGTAAGGCAGTGAGGGGTGACCTGGGCTCTCTAGAGCCCCAGAGAGCCCCAGAATGGGGGGTCGGGGGGACGGGGCCAGGTCCTTCAACCAATAGCCTCCCTTCAGCCACAACTAACACCCCTTGTTGACTGTTTAAGTCTTACCACCACAACCACCCCTCACGTCCCCCCCCCCCAAAAAAATCCAGAGAGCAAAATCCAACACAACCAAAGGAGATCACCACGCAGATGATTTGGTGAGGGGTCTCTGCCTCCCACCTCAGGGTGCCCACCCAACTCCCCATCAGCAAAGTGCCTGAAGAACAGGGCCGGGCCTGGGGGCCCCACCCCCACCCCCATTAAATCAGCTGAAATCTGATAAAATTAGCAGGGAGAGGCTTGCCTAGAAGGGAACTGCATTCATGCAAGGGTAGGTGATCTGGGGATAAGGAGCGGCAGTGGGGGTGAAGGAATTTGGGTGGGGTTTTATATGTTTCTGAGCCCGGGCAGGTTTTAGCACCCACAGAGGTACGCCGCCCTCCATCTCTCCCGGGTTGCCAAGCACTGGCTTTCCTCTTTCTAGAACACTCCGAATCCCACCTCACACCAGTCCCTTCACCATCATTGCCTTAGGGACACAAAAAAATAAACAGAGAAGGTGAAACTGAGAATTCCGGGCCAGAGCGATCATTGTACGACAGCATGTAGGGCACCTGCCTTGCACGTGGCCGACTTGGGTTTGATCCCAGGCACCAAGTATGGTTCCCCCAAGCCCTGCCTATCAAGGAGTGGTCCTTGAACGCAGAGTCAGGAATAAGCCCTGGGCACCAACGGATGGGGCCCCAAAAGAGTGAGAAATAGGTAAAGAGTCTCCCTAAGGAAGGAAGGGAGAAATCTCCAAAGGACATCAGAGGGGACGCAATCAAGGCCCGGGGCATGCCGGACGCCTCTCAGGATCCCAGCCCCCCACCCCGTTCCAGACTCACCCACCATCCAAAGGGATGAGATAAGAGCAGCTTAGCTGGAAGATAAGGACCAGGCAGATCCCGGGCCTAAGTCGGGCCTCGGGTTGCCGGAAGGGACCTTCCAGGCCATCCCATCCTATCCTATCGGACCCCTCCGGCCTTACAATGACACGGAGGCTTAAAGAAAAAGAGAAGTGACTTGGCCAAGGTCACAGAGGTACAGTCAGGAGACCCCCGGGGTATTTCCATCTCACCAGGCTGTTCCACAGCCTTCGGTGGGTTGGGGGCGGGAGGGAGGTGTAGGAGGGGAAACCACTCGCCCTCTCCCGGGATGGGCTTGGAGGACTAGGAAGTCGGGAGGATTGAAGGTCAGAGGTTAGCTCAGGGGCGGAGGTCACGGTGGGGGTAGCCTGGGAAAGAGGCTGAGGCTTGGGAAGGGTGAGTCAAATCGGAGAAAATGGGAGGCCTGAGCCAAGGAGCAAAAGCAAAGGACTGTGGGCCGAAAGTCCCTAATAACAAGGGAAGCCGAGTCTCGAGAAAGATGAGCCAAAAGATGGTATCATTAGACCTGGAGCGCCCCCGCCCACCGGCCCCGGGGGGCAGGGGGGCGGGGCCCCAGAAACACCTCGGACCCGGGAGTAACAAGTCGACCCGGCGACTGGGCTGGACCCCCCTCGGGAGCTCTCGCCAACCCGAACCGGGCCCGCGGTGCCAAGGGCATCGCCGGAGACCGCAGTCCCGGCACGACTCCGCACCCCCCAGCACACACACCTAGTAGTGGCCATCCCGCCGGGTCATCACCATGGCAACGCAGAGGCAGCCCGGCACCCCCAGAGCCCATCCCCGGGGGGCCCACCTGCCAGCCACTCCCCCTCCAGCGGCCAGAGCAGCTCCGGGCCTCCCGAGGCGGCCCCCGGAAGGGGAGCCCCAGACCCCAGGAGGGAGCGGGCCGGGCACAAAGGGGCCGGGGCGCCCCTCCCCGGCCCGGGGTGCAGGGGCGCCCGCGGCCCAACTAGTTGGAGGGCCGGCCGGGTCGCCCGATTCTCGGGGCCGCGGCCACCCTCCCGGAAGCCCTTTCTCCCCAACTCTCCCTGGGCCCCGCCAGTTTCGGGAGGGCCGACACCCGGGCCCCCTGCACGCCCCCTCCTGCAAGTAAGTCGGCGGAGGCACGGCCGGGGGTGGGGTGGGGGGCGCAGGCGAAGAGCGAGGCACAAAGGCAGGCCTCCCCCCCGGCACCCCGAGGCCCGCGGGCCGGCTCCGGCCCCCCGCGCCCCCTACCACGCCCCTTCCCCAGCGCCCTCCGCCCGCGCCCCCCAGGCGGCTCCGGGCCCGCGGGGGCCCACCTCGCCGCCGCCGCCCCGAGCCCCCTGGCCGCCACCCCGTCCTCCCCGCCGCCCACCCTCCCCTCCGGCTCGGCGTTCCGCTCGGGGGTCCCGGGGCCCTCGGCTCCGTCGGGGGGGCGCCCCGCGGCTGCCCCCAGCCCTCCCGGGGCGCCCCCCGCTCCCCGGCCCGGCGGTGCCCGCGGAGGGGGGCCGGCTCGGGAAAATAACAAATGGAGGAGGCGGGTGGGGGCGGGGAGCCGCGGGACGGGACCGGGCCGGGCCGGGCCGGGCCGGGCCGGGCCGATCGCGGGGCCCGGGCTTACCTGCAGGCGGCGGCGCGGCGGGCTCCGGGCGGCGGCGGGGCTCGGGCGCCTCCGGGGGGCGGCGGCCGCGCTCCCCGCCCCCCTCGCCTCCTCCCGGCTTCAGTCGCCGCCGCGACGGCGGCGCCGGCGGCCGCGGCCCCCCCGGAGGGTCGCCATCCCCCCCTCCCGGCCCCCGATCGCGCCCCTCCCGCGCCCCGCGCTCCCCGCGGCGCCCCCCGACTCGCTCCGGCCCAGGCCCGGCGACGCGGGGCGGCGCGGCGCGGCGCGGCCGGCGACTCGCACAGGAAAGCGGCCGCCGAGGGAGGGCGCGAGGGGGAGGGGAGCGGGAGGAAGCGGGGAAGGGGGAGCGGCGGCGAGGGGGAGCGGGAGGCTCGGCCGAGGGGCCGGGAGGGGAGGCGGCCGCCGGGGAGGGGCGCGGCGGGCGGGCGGGCGGGCGGGCGGGGGCGGCGCCGCGCGCGCGGGCCGCGGCCGAGGGGCCGGGGCGGAATGTGGGGAGCCCGCGGGCTGGCGCCGGAGCGGGCGCGGTAGGAGGGGCCGGCCGGGCGGGAGGGCGAGGCTGGAGGCGAAGTTTGGGGGCGCCCGGCGGGGGGCGGGGGGCGCTGTGGCCGGAGCGAGGGGCGCCGCGCGGTGCCTTTCCACGGGGCGGGCGGAGCTGGAGAGGCCCCGGCGGGCGTGTGACGGGGCTGGGGGCGGTCGCTGAGAATGGGATGGAAGTTTGGGGTCCTGCGGGAAGAAAGGGAAACGGGGGGGGGCTGGGGCTGACCCCGAGGAGTCTGGGGGTGATGGGACCGGGGGGAAGCTGAGAAGGCCGGGTGATGGGGAGGGCTGCAGCGAGAAGTTCAGAGACGGGGTGGAAGGGCCCACATGCACATTCTAGGGGGACACGCCACGTCTAGGGGGACCTGGGGCGCGCGGGCACGGCTGGGCGCCGGGGTGGGGTCCCGGAGAACTGGGGGCCAAGCGCAGTGGAGCAGACAAAACGGAGCAGATAGAACGGGGGCGGTGGGCATGAAGGTGAGTGAGATGGGCTGTAACACCAGCCAGGTCTTGGGGGGCACCGCGAAGGTGGGGGTGCAGTCTGGGCGCGGACAGGCCCGCTGCCCACCGAACCTCAAGCCCCCAGCTAGCCCCGATGCGCACTACTTGGGCTCCTGCAGGGGCTGCGGGCGGGATGAGTCTCGGCGTGGGACCAGCCCCTGGCCCCCCTCTTGCAGAACGGGGCGCCGGGCCCGACAGCAGCAGCAGGTTCTCCCTCCGGGCTCGCTCTGGGGACCCCCGGCCACTCCCAGTCTGTCTCGAGCACGCACGCCTGCAAGCCCACCCCCCAGAACGCCACCGGGGGCTTGGGGGGAGCCCCCCCCCAGGCTCCTCTTGGGGACTCTCTGCTCCGGGTCCCCCCCTCCCCGCACCAAGCCGCAACCATCCCCCAGGACAAAGGACACGGGAGAGACACGGGGGTGATTTTTGGCAGCCGAGATTGGGGAAGGCCGGAGCAGGGGAGGAGGGAGGCAGGCCGGGCCGCGGGAAGAGCTGGAGCTGGATTCTGGAGAGTCTGGATCCGGCGCCTCCCACCCGCGCGCGACGCACTTGGTTGGGCTGGGGAGGAGTGGGCAGGTGGGGGCGGGGAGGGGGGCCGGTCAGCCGGGGCCCAGGGTGGGTGGAGGCGGGGGGGGGGGGGCGGAGGTGGTCCCAAATGTCAGACTCCCACCAGCCTTCTGGGAAGGAAGGAAGGAGGCTGGCTGGGGAGCAACCCAGATTTGGGCTCCCATTTCCTTGGACCGGGCTCAGCCAAGTTCTAGAAATAGCCCAAAGCTCGGCGGGCGCGGAGGGGAAGAGGCACCGGGGAGCGTCCGCGGGGCCGAGGAATGAAGCCTCCCCTCGGGCCTGGGAGTTGCTCGGCGCGCGCTCCCCCTGCCTTCCTCGGCCCTCCTCATCCTCCGAAACCCGCAGCCACCTCCCCGCGTCCCCCCCCTCCCCTCCTCGCTGCCCAGTTCCCCCACCCCCCCCGCCCCAGCTACCAGGACTCCCTTCCACAGTGCCCTGGGAGCGCCCCACCCCCCAACTTTGTTCCAAGACTCCTCCCCCCTCCCGCCTCCCTCCTGCATTTCCTCCCCGCAGCTTCTCAGTTCTCTCTCCCACTGGGCCCGGGCCCAGGCCCTTCTCAACTCCCTCGCAGGCTGCACTCCCTCCCTCTTTTTTTTTTTTTTCAAACCACAAAGGCGCAGGCCGGGGAAGGTGCAAAACCTGAGCCTGAAAAAAAATAATGCAGCCAGCCTAGGGGAGCAACAGGGGCGAGGGGGAATAAAAAAAAAAAAAAACGGGGCTCAGCGGTGCGGGTGGGGGGCAGCTGCACCCTGCCTCCCCTTCCCCTGCCTCCCCCTACCTGCGGGCCAGCCCCAGGGTGCCCCTGGCGGACGCACCCCTCCAAGTCTCACCCCAGCCCCCCACCCCCCCCACCCCGGTCTCCAGGCAACGGCACAAAGGGAGCGTGGAGCGAGGGGCCCCGAGCCGCGGGCGGCGGTAACCCCATCGGAGACCGTACCTGGGAGCCGAGGGCGCGCCGAGGCCCCGGGAGAGGGAGGTGAGGGCACAGGTTAGGGCCGGCGTGACGCGGGGGCTCCGGGGCCACCCGGGACGCCCCCCAGGAGGCGCGCCCAGGAGACGGCGGCCGGCCCGGGGCAGGACGCTCTGCGGACTGGGGCGAGCTGGGGTGTCAGGAACCCGGGAAGGCGGAAAGCGGAGAAACAGGCCTGCCCCCCCCCCCCACTCCGAGCCAGAGCCCCCTCCCCGCCCCCCAGCCCTAGAGCGGGGCAGGATGGCGCAGACAGCTGAGAGCAGAATTGAGGAGAAACCAGGACGCCCACGGAGGGCCGGACCCTTGGTCCTCCCAGCCCACCCCCCGTGGGGGCCAGCGGGGGCCCCGCGGAACCTTGGCGCCCCCTAGTGGCCAGCGCCCCCCACAACCCCTGCAGGCCCCGCGGGCCGCTGGCATCCCGGGCTTGGCAGCGCTGGGCCCCGCCGAAGTAGCAGAATTCTAGCAGGGTCTGGGAGCCCACCCGAGGGCCTCTCGGCCTCTCCAGGCCCCGAGTTTCCCATTTGTTTGTTTTTGCTGCGCCGGTGCCTCCCACATGCCAGGGAGCTTCTCCACCACGGCCTCTCCTGCCCCTTGAATCTCCCTCCAACTTACGGGAGACCCGTTTCTGGCACTCCTGTAGAACGTTCCTCCATCCCAGGTCCCCATCCTGCAGGGGTGCCAACCACACTGGGTGCCAGTCCAGAAGTGTCTATCCCCTGGGTGTGTGCGTGTGTGATACCGAAGATCGAATCCTGGGCCTATTCCCTACCCCGGAGTTTCACCCCCAAAGCAACTGAATCCTTCTGGGAGTCTCGATCGCCTTTTGCACAAGTGCTGGTGAGCTAGTCCAGCCGGTAAGATGCTTGCCTTGCACGCAGCTGGCCTAAGTCTGATCCCTGGTACCCCATAGGGTCCCCCAGCGCCACCAGGAGTGATCCCTGAGTGTCAATCCAGGAGGAAGCCCTTCCAGGTGTGTCCAAAACATGAAATAAATAAAACAAAATTTCTTGGCACACACATCCTTGGCTATTTGTGGGGATTTCCTGGGCCCTACATGGAGAACTACTAGTTTCCCTAGATCTTGGGGCCAGACTGCTGAGAAGGGTGGGACCATGTGAATGCCAGCTGTCCACTGGGGGGCTGGGGGGGGGCAATGGCATCCTCTCACCAATTCTCTCTGGCTTTTTTTTTTTTTGCTTTTGGGGCCACACCCAGCGATGCACAGGGTGCATCCTGGCTCATGCACTCAAGAATTACTCCTGCAGTGCTCGGGGGACCCTATGGGATGCTGGGAATCGAACCCGGGTCGGCCGCGTGCAAGGCAAACACCCTACCCGCTGTGCTATCACTCCAGCTCCCTCTCTCTGGCCTTTTGGCTCACACCCAGAGATGCTTACTGGTTCTGCATTCAGGAATCACTCCTGGCGGTGCTCAGAGGACCATATGGGATGCCGGGGATCCAACCCGGGGCGGCCTCATGCAAGGCAAATGCCCTCCCTACTGTACTATCACTCCAGCCCCTCTCTCAGCAATTCTGCCCTCTTGGTCTTCCTCCTAGCTCTCTTCTCCACGGCCCTCCGTGTCCAGGCACTGCACTGTCACCCTCCTCCAGTAAGACCGTTCACACACAATCACTGGATTCAGATTTTAATGGGGCTCATTCCACGCCACGGAGGTGGTGGCCGCGATGGAACATGGCAGGGAGCAGAGTCGGCTCTGGTGCAGCTGGAGGAAGAATTAGGAAGCCAGGGCTGGGGGAGAAATTTGTAGGGGGGGTGGCCCCCCACCCGGAGCACAGCCCCACCTCAGGGCCCACCCCCACCCCCCACCCAAGGCTTCCAGGCCGGTGGTGCAACCGTAATTGACATCCAGGAGGCTCGTTCCTGGTTCCCATTTCACTAACCCTCACCCCAGGCCCTCTCCAGACCTACAGTGACCTGAAATATAGAGACAGTCCCCTCGATGTCACCAGTTTGCGGCCCTACAGTTCTGGGAAATCATGAGTCATTAACAGGATGGATGGAGAAAATGAACGAATGAATGAGGGAGTGAAGGCGTGAAATCCCATCAGCCTCTGAGCAAGCAGGCTCGAGCTACCCATCACAGCTGCACGGGGATCCGTGGAACTGACAGGAAGCCGATGGCTGGGACCCCCTCCTCTCTCCACATGACCCCTCCCCTGCCCATACTCCCGCCTCAGACCCTCACCCCCCCTGGCCAGTTTTGGAGGAGAGAAAAAAAAAGGAAGGAAGGAAGGAGAGATGAGACCCAGACACAGCGAGAGCACGAGAGAGCAGGGGCCGGACAAGCCAAGAGGCAGCGCGGTAGGTAGGGTCGGGCAGCCGGGCGTCTGGGGCGCAGTCACAGAGCAAGGGGACGGGGGTCTTCCAGGAGGAGGACAGAGAGGCCCGAGTCTCCAGGCCGGGAGGGGCGTCACAGCACGCTGGGGTTGCGGAAATTGTGCCCCGCGAAGCGTGCTTCATCTCCCAGCTCCTCTTCGATTCTGAGGGACAGGAGCCCGAGTAAGGCAGGGGACCTACGAGGACCCCCTGTCCCTTCCCTGGAGACGCCCCGCCTCCCCCAACCCGCTCCTGGCTCCTGCCCATGGTGGGCATGCCCAGACTTTGCCAAGTGACCTTGAGGCATCTGTGGGTGAGGCCCCCCGGTACTCCCACCTTTCAAAAACAACTAAACGGGCTGGAGCGATAGCACAGCGGGTAGGGCATTTGCCTTGCACACAGCTGACCCGGGTTCGATTCCCAGCATCCCCATAATGTCCCCCAAGCACCACCAGGAGTAATTCCTGAGTGCATGAGCCAGGAGTAACCCTTGCACATTGCCGGGTGTGACACCCCCCCAAAAAAAAAAAAAAACAACTAAACACAAACACCTCCTCCCATCTGCTGCTGTCTCACCCCTGGTCCCTGGGGAGGGGTCGGGGGTCAACCACCCACCCTCCAAGGCTCGACCCTCCAAGACCCCAGACTCCCTCACCTCATGAGCTGGTTGTACTTTGCCAGACGCTCCGAACGGCAGGGGGCGCCAGTCTTGATCTGAAACACCCCAGGCATCAGCGCTCAGGGGCTGACCCTTCCCGCAGCCCCCAGGGGAGATTTGTCTTCCCTTGAACTTTCCCCAGCAACCCCCACCCCCACCAGGGAAGGACAGTCCCACCTCAGCCTGGACCCCACTGCGCGCCCGGCCCCCTGCACCCACCTGGCCGGTGCACAGCCCCACCACCAGGTCAGCGATGAAGGTGTCCTCGGTCTCCCCGGAGCGGTGGCTCACCATGACACCCCAGCCATTCTCCTGTGCCAGCTTGCACCTGCAACAACACCTCAGCACTGACCACATCCACCAGGTGAAGAGAAGGTTCTAGAAACATCTGCAGGGGAGTTGCTGGGGAGGGGAAGGAGGAAGTGGACTTGGTGGGGGCAGCACGGAGATGGGTGGGACGCCTCCAGGTCCCCTCTGGTCTGGACATGGATCGAGAGATCAGGCCTGAGCACTTGTGAGGGATGCTCCGACTGCGCGTGCGTGCGTGCGTGCGTGTGTGTGTGTGTGCAGAAGTGTGTGTGTGGGGGGTGTCTTAGAGAAACGGGGGCTGCCTAGGGAGGGACTCACGCTTGAATGGCTTCGGTGACCGAGCCAATCTGGTTGACCTTGAGCAGCAAACAGTTGCAGGCCTTCTCCTCCACGGCCCGCTCGATCCTCTTGGGGTTGGTCACGGTCAGGTCGTCCCCCACGATCTGGATCCCCACGTTGGCTGTGAACTTGGACCAGGCAGCCCAGTCATCCTGGTCAAATGGGTCCTCGATGGAGACCACTGTGGGCAGAGTTGGGATGAGGCCGATCTCTGGGCCTGGGCGCCAGGCACCGCCCGTCCCCTGGGTCCCCCAGATGGACGGAAGTCCAAGATGGCCAACTGTGTCTGCTCAGACTGCCTCCTGCCTCCCACCCCCCAATTTTTTTAAAATTTATTTTCTTTTCGCGGGTAGGGCGTTTGCGTTGTACACAGCCATTTCGGGTTCAGTTCCTTCATCCCTCTTGAAGAGCCTGGCAAGCTACCGAGAGTATCCCGCCCACACGGTAAAGCCTGGCAAGCTCCCCATGGCGTGTTCGATATGCCAAACACAGTAACAACAAGTCTCACAATGGAGACGTTACTGGGCCCGCTCAAACAAATCAATGAACAATGGGAGGACAGTGCTACAGATAATGCTATTTTCTTGAGCAACATCCGGTGGTGCTCAGGGCTTACTGGGCTCTGCGCTCAGTAAATCCCCCCTGACTGTGCTTGGGGGACCATATGGGATATGGGGGACCAACCTAACCCGGGTGGGCTGCGTGGAAGGCAAGCACCCTGCCCACTGTACTCTGATCCTTCTGCATTTTTTTTTTAATTTCAGAGCCCACCCGCAGTGATACTTGGCCAACTGCTGGCTCAAACCCAAGCAGTGCTGGGGATCCCTGGGACTCCAGCTTGGGGCCATCCCAGTGATACTCAGGTACCACATGCAACTCCAGGAACGGGGCGTGGTGCTCTGCATGCTAGACGGTGCTCTAGCCCTCAGAGCTAACTCCCTGGCCCTGACTGATTCGGGTGGGTTTTTTCTTGTGAGGGGGGGCATGGGAGCCACCCCAGTGGTGCTCAAGAGACCCTGTAACACCAGCGATGATTATACCTCCGGGACCCTGATTCTGGGTTTGATTTTTCCATGGGACCTTTTGAACACATGTGCTGGAGAACAGTGGGGAAGGTGCTCCCCTTCCATACCGCTGACCCCAGAGTTTGATCCCCGGAATCACCTAGGGTCCCCTGTGTACTGCCAGGGATGCACAGAGCCAGGAATGGCCTCTGAACAGCGGCAGGTGTGGCCTATTCAACAACAAAAGCCTAGAACCCTCCTCACCATCTAGCTGCATTGTGCAGGGGTTGCTCCTATCTTGCACTCAGGAATTATTCCTGGTGGTGCTCAGGGGACCACATGGGGTGCTGGGAATCGAACTCGGGTCAGCCGCGTGCAAGGCTAACGCCCTCCCCGCTGTGCTATCGCTCCAGCCCCTCGCCTCTGTATGTGTGTGGCGGGCCATACTCAGAGATGCTCAGGGCTTACTCCTGGGATCTGCACTCAGGATCTCCACTCTGCAAAGGGATCACTCCTGGCTGGCTTGGGGGGTGCCGTGTGTAGTGCCAGGAATGGAACCCAGGTCTACTGCGTGCAAAGCATGTGCCCTCCCGGCTGTCATTCTCCAGCCCCCTGCCCTGTCCTCTTTTGTTTTGTTCTTTTTTTTTTTCTTTTTGGGTCATACCCGGCAATGCACAGGGGTTACTCCTGGCTCTGCACTCAGGAATTACTCCTGGCGGTGCTCGGGGGACCCTATGGGATGCTGGGAACTGAACCCGGGTCTGCCGGGTGCAAGGCAAACACCCTCCCCGCTGTGCTATCGCTCCAGCCCCAAGTTTTTCTTGTTCTAAGGCCATACTTAGTGTGGCTATTCCCAGCTCAGTACTGGGGGCTCACTGTCAGTCCTGGGGAACCCTGCAATGTCAGGGCTCCTAGGTCTCCTGCATGCAAAGCAAGTGCTCCCTGCTGGCTGGTTCTCTCTGCCATCCGCTTTGGTACTTGCAGTGACTCCTTTGAGCTACACGTCCTCCTCTTTCTCCCTCTTCGCTCCCCTTCTCTTCCATCTTTCTCCTCTCCCCCTCTCCCCTTCTTTTTTCTTTTTTGTGGCTTTTTGGGTCACACCCGGCGATGCTCAGGGGTCATTCCTGGCTCATGCACTCGGGAATTACTCCTGGCGGTGCTCGGGGGGACCATATGGGATGCCTGTTCGCGCACAAGCCAAATGCCCTCCCCACTATACTATGGTTCCAGCACCTCCCTCTCCCCTTCTTCCTCCTCTCTCTCCCTCCCTCCTCTCTCCTCTCCCCACATCTCTTGCCTTCTGGAAGAGGAGGGAGAGGAGGGCCTGAGCACTAGCAGAGTGGGCAGACTCATGGCCAACCCAGGGTTCGATCCCCAGCACTCCATATGGCCTCCAGGGCCTTGCCAGGAGTGAGCCAGGAGTAAGCCCTGAGCACTGCTGGGTGTGGTCCCGAAACACACAACAAAAACAGAATAGGAAGAGAACAACTCAACACTCTCCTCTTCACACATCACTTCCACCTCTGTCAGCAGCTAGCATTTTATCAGCCTGAAACCCACCCCCCCCTTTTTTTTCTTTTCGGGTCACACCCGGTGATGTTCAGGGGTTACTCCTGGCTCATGCACTCAGGAATTACTCCTGGCGTGCTCAGGGGACCACATGGTGTGCTGGGAATTGAACCGGAGTCAGCCACGTGCAAAGCAAACGCCCTCCCCACTGTGCTATAGCTCCAGCCAAACCCCACCCCTTTCTCCCCTGCCCTCCACCCCGTTCCTTCCAGAACCATCCCCAGGATGGCAGCAGCATCAGAGCCCCTGACTCCCAGACGGCACAGAGAGGTGCTCTCAAACCCCAGTCTCTGCCGCTGACCTCCTTGCTGGGCCTCGGGTGCTCCTTGGACCCCTCCACCAGGCACCCGAACCATCCCTCCATTCCAGATGCCTCCACAGGGTCCTGTGTGCCCCCACCCAATCCGTCCTGCCTCCCACCCCCCTGGCTCTCACCAGGATAGTCCCTGACAAAGTCCTGGTAAAGGCTTCCCAGCTGATCCCCACTGATGTATCGGGAAGGGTCCGCGGGCGACTTGAAGTCCAAGTCGTATTTGCCGTTGCGGTAAAACTCGGAGGCGGCGACGTCCATGCCAATGACAATCTTCTCCGTGTAGCCCGCCTTGTCGATGGCTTCCTTCACCAGCTCCAGGGCTGGGGACAACGGTCAGGTTAGTGGCAAGAAGAATGGCCAGGAGGGATATGGGGAGGGAGGGGTGCAGAGCAGCTGGCGGGAGGGAGGAAGTGTGGCCCGGGTTGGGGTTATCCCGGGGCTGGGCAGGCAGAGGAATGGACTCCTGTTCATAGCCATTTAACGGTGCTGGGGTCCGAACCCTGGGGCTCCCTCATGCGAGGCTTCTCTCCAACTGCTGAGTCACATCCCCATTCCAGCTAGAGTTCTTCATCCTGGTGATTTTTTTTGGGGGGGGGGGACGGATGCGAGGTGGGGTAACACCCAGCAGTGCTCAGGGTTCTTCCTGACTCTGCACTCAGGAATGACTCCTGGTGATGCTCGGGGCTGTACATGTCTTTTTCTAAAAATTAGGAAGTTGCAATAATTTTCACAGGATAGACATGGAGTCATAGCACAGTGGGTAGGGTATTTGCCTTGAATGCAGCCGACCCGGGTTCAATTCCTCCGTCCCTCTCAGAGAGCCCGGCAAGCTACCGAGAGCAGCCCACCCGCACGGCAGAGCCTGGCAAGCTCCCCGTGCGTATTCAATATGCCAAAAACAGTAACAACAAGTCTCACAATGGAGACGTTACTGGTGCCCGCTCAAGCAAATCGATGAACAACGGGAGGACAGTGGCGCTTGGGGTCCCTATGGGATGCTGGGGGTCAAACCCTGGTTAGCCGTGTGCAAGGTAAGCCCTGCTGTTCTATAACTGCAACCCCAATTGTGGCAATTTTTTTCCACTGCTTTTTTTTGTTCTTTTCGTTTGTTTGTTTGGGGGCCACACCTGGCACTGTTCTGCTCAGGGCTTACTATTGCTCTATGCTCTGGGATCACTCCTGGCAGGCTTAGGGGACCATAAGGGGTGTCAAGAATGAAACCAGGGGCTGGAGCGACAGCACAGCGGGTAGGGCGTTTGCCTTGCACGTGGCCGACCCGGGTTCGATTCCCAGCATCCCATATGGTCCCCCGAGCACCGCCAGGAGTGATTCCTGAGTGCAAAGCCAGGAGTAACCCCTGAGCATCGCCGGGTGTGACCCAAAAAGAAAAAAAAAAAAAGAATGAAACCAGGCCAGCAGCTTGCAAGGCAAGTGTCCTACCCACTGCTCTATCTTTCTGGCCCCTCTCAGCAGTGCTCAGGAGTCCCTTCCAGCTTCTTGGGTTAAGAGGCCATGAGGTGTTGGCAATTGGACCCAGGGCGCCCACATCATGTGCTCTAACTCTTTGAGCTACTTCCCAGGGGCCCAATCAGTTGCTGTTGGCTCGGTTTGGGCTGTACCCAGTGATGCTTAAGGGCTACTCCTGGCTCTGTACTCAGGAGATGCTGCTGGCGGTGCTTAGGGAACCGTCCCCTGCCAGGGATGAAACCTGGGCCTCCCCCATGTAGAACAAGCACGCAACCTTTTTTTTTTTTTTTTTTTGCTTTTTTGCTTTTTGGGTAGTACTTGCTGATGCTCAGGGTTACTCCTGGCTCTGCACTCGAGAATTACTTCTGGAGGTGCTTGGTGCACCACCTGGAACCCCAGGATGGCTGCGTGCAAGGTAAATGCCCTCCCTGCTGGACTATCCTTCTCGCCCAGCACTCAACCTTTCGCGCTATCTCTTCAACCTCCTCAATGTTTTTTTGTGTTTGGTTTTGGTTTGGGAGCCATACCCAGCTGTGTTCAGGGCTGACTCCTGTCTCTGGGGTCAGGGGTCAAGACTGGGGGGGCGTTGGAGCGATAGCACAGCAGGTAGAGCGTTTGCCTTGCACGCGGCCGACCAGGGTTCGATTCCCAGCATCCCATAGGGTCCCCTGAGCACCGCCAGGAGTGATTCCTGAGTGCAGAGCCAGGAGGAATCCCTGTGCATCGCCGGGTGTGACTCAAAAAAGCAAAAAAGCAAAAAAAAAAAAAAGAATAAAAAAATTAAAAAAAAAAAAAGACTGGCAAGGGGACCGTATGTGGTGCCAGGAATCAACTCAGGTCGCCCACATGCCTGGCAAGTTCCTTACCTGCTATACCATGGCTCTGGCCACAAGTTGGTTGTTTTTTGTTTCATTTTTGTTTTTGTTTTTTAAATAGCTGTCATTTATTGGCTACATCACCTAAGTATTTCACAGCTACGATCTCTTTTAATCCTCAGCACGGGCCTCTGAGTTAGCTGCTGCTATTATTCCTATCAAGTAAGAATAGGGAGGGCATTTGCATTGCACGTGTTTGATGCAGGTCTGATCCCTGGCATGGCATATGGTCCCCCAAGCACCACCAGGAGTGATTCCTGAGTGCATGAGCCAGGAGGAACCCCTGAGCATCACCAGATGTGGCCCCTGAGACGACTCCCCACGCAAAAAAAAAAAACAAAAAAAACATTAAAGGTGAAGTTTAGTGGCTGGAGAGAACGTAGAGAGGTAAAGGTACTTGTTTTGCACCCCCGTCTGAACCCCTGGCATTGTATGTGGTCCCCTGAGCACAGAGAACCAGGAATAAGCCCTGAGCACCTTTGGGGGTGGCCCCCAGAAGGAAGGAAGCCCCGGGGGTGCGAGGGAGAGCCGGAGCCAGAGGGGTTCCAGCCTCTCACCTTCACTGTTCTCCAGGATGTTGGGGGCGAAGCCGCCTTCGTCTCCCACGTTGGTGGCATCCTTGCCGTACTTGTCTTTGATGACCCCCTTCAGCGTGTGGTAGACCTCCGCGCCGAGCCGCATGGCATCCCGGAAGCTCTCGGCGCCCACCGGGAGAATCATAAACTCCTGCATGGCCAGTTTGTTCCCCGCGTGCGAGCCTCCGTTGATGACGTTGAAGGCCTGGGGGACAGTGGGACACAGGAGGGGGTGTTGCCCTCACAATCCCAAACACCCCGCCGTTGTTGGGGCTTCCCAGGTCCAGTGTCCTGCCCTGCCCATTCCTGGGAGCTGCCCCCTCCCCTCTCTCCCACCCAGCCCACCTCCTCCAGGCAGCCCTCTCACCGGCACCGGCAGGATGAGGTCCGAGTTCCCGGCCAGCTGAGCAATGTGGCGATACAGGGGCAAGTCCCGCTGGGCCGCGCCCGCCTTACATATGGCTAGGGACACCCCCAGGATGGCATTGGCCCCGAACTTGGCTGTGGAGGGGGGTTACAGAGGAAGGATGGACCAAAATATTCCTTCCCCACTTAGCACCCACTCCTCCATGTCAGCCCCCCTCACCCCGCCTGCCGTCTTTCTCATCCATTCTCAGGTCAAGGGACTGAGGCGGGGCAGAGGTCACTTCCCTCAGGGGCTGGCCAGCCCTTCCCACTGGGTCCCCCTCCCAGAGGTTTCCCCAGCCCTGAGGAAGGCCCCAAAGCTCAGGCCTCCAATAGCCCATCCCACGCTCACTTTTTTAATATATATATATTATATATATATATATATTTTTGCTTTTTGGGTCACACCCGGCAATGCACTGGGGCTACTCCTGGCTCTGTACTCAGGAATTACTCCTGGCGGTGCTCGGGGGACCCTATGGGATGCTGGGAATTGAACCCAGGTCGGCCGTGTACAAGGCAAACGCCCTCCCTGCTGTGCTATCGCTCCATCCAGTCCCCCCCACCCCGCTTACATTTGTTCTCAGTCCCGTCCATCTCCAACATCAGGTTGTCCAGCTTCTCCTGCTCCACCACGGAGATACCCTGTGGGTGGGCAGGACCTCCGTGACCCAAGGGGGCCACTGGGCTCCAAGGCAGAGTCTCCAGTTACAGGCTCACATCCGGCCAAGGTCCACTTGGCTTCCCGTGCCAGCAACAACCCCCTCACCTCCACTCCGGGGTGGGGGTCCCCGGGGACTCTAAAGGGTCTTCACCCTCCCTGGGCTCCCCCAGGGAGCAGTGTGATTCCAGGGGGCTGCCCCTTCTCCCCCCCTCCTCCTCCCCCAACCCAGGGCTCCCGCCTGGATGCTGGGGTCTCACCGAGCTGATGAGGGCCGGCGCGATGGTGCTGTTGATGTGGTCCACAGCCTTCAGGACGCCTGAGGAGAGTCAGAGAGAAGAGGGGGAGGGTTCTAGACCAGGGCACGGGCGTGGGGGAGGAGCTGCAGAAGGCAGTGCTCACAGAGCGGGCCTCACCTTTGCCCAGGTAGCGCTGTTTGTCCCCATCCCGTAGCTCCAGGGCCTCATAGATGCCCGTGGAGGCTCCACTGGGCACTGCAGCCCGGAAGAGACCTGGAGGAGGAACGTGGAGGAACACAGAGACCATTTTCCTCCAGTCTTCCAGCTCCAAAACCTGACTAGCATCCCCACATAGGCACACACACACACACACACACACACACACACACACACACAGGTGTACACACAGTCTGCCCTGCCTGCCTGCCTTCCCTGGACAAGGACCGAGCCCCCACAATCCAGGTTTCGGAGCCTAGCCCAGACTCCTTGCACCCCCGTGGGCCCTAGGGATGCCATGACACCCCAGACCTGGCCCAGGCATCATGGGGTGCTGTGATGTGTGTGTGTGTGTGTGGGGGGGAGCCCTTCTTGTTACCTTTGGCCGTGTGGAGATCCACCTCCACCGTGGGGTTCCCACGGGAGTCCAGGATCTCCCGGGCCCAGATCTTCTTGATGGACATGATGGCGGGGATCTCCTTAGGTGCAAAGCCAGGAAGGAGAACGATTAAGCAGGTCCGGGAAGAGGGGGGAGCCGCAGATTGGGGGTGGGGGGTGGGGGCTGCAGACTGTGGGCGGGCTGGGAAAAAGGTTACTGCAGTGGGTGGGGGGTGGGGAGGAGCCGCCCGCAGTAGAAGGGACCTCCCCCCCCCCACGGGGAGAGAAGGTCAATGCAGTGAGGAAGGGGGAGGTCACTGCAGTGGGGAGGCACAGGGGTGAGGCCTCCGCAGTGGAGCGGGTGGGCGCCGCGGGGGGTTCCCTGGCCCATCAGCAGCGCGGCGGCTGGCGGGGTTCCCCCAGACCCCCTCCGAGTCGAATGGATGCCAGGCTTGGATTTCTCCGCGGAGCCAAGAGGATGCTGAGCAGCTGGGCCGCTCCAGAGCCCCATCCCACCCAAACTTAACCGCCCAGCCCCCCGCTCGGGGACCCACTCTCTCCCGGGCGCGCCCCTCCCCTTCCCGAGGGATGTACAGTAGAGAGGTGGGGGGGCGGGGGAGAGGGTCCCCGGGTGGCCGTGGGGAGGAATAAGGGGAGGGGAGCGGCTGCAGGCTGGGCCCAACTTTCCCCACCCCCAAACCCTCCTCCTCCTCCTCCTCTTCCTCCTCGGCCCCCTCCCCGGGACGGGGCGCAGCGGGGGCGATGTGGGGGAGTGGGCGCGGGGGTGCCGCGGCACGACGTGCGCGGTCCCCGGAGACCCCCGGCGGGATAGCGGGGAGGGGCCGGGGCGCGGCGCCGTCAGAAACAGGTGCGGAGAGGAGGGGGCGCGGGCAGAAGCGCCGAGAAGGGGGCGCAGGTGGCGGAGCAGGTGCGCGGCGCGGGGGGCCGGGGCGAGGGGCGCGCGCGGGGGCCCGGGGGGCTTCACCTCCCGGCTGCAGACTCGGCGGCGGCGGCGGCGGCGCGGAGGGCGGCGGGAGCGGCGGCGGCGGCGGCGGCGGCGGCGGCGGCTGCGGCTCCCGGGCGGCGGGCGGGGGGCGGGCGGGGGGCGGCGCCGATAGGACCGGGCGGGCGCATGTGACCCGGAGCCCCCGATGAGTCAGGAGCCGCCGAGGCGCACGCAGGAGCGCGGGTGGGTGGGGGTGGAGGAGGGGGGGGCGCGAAGGTCTGGGCTGCGGGGGTTGGGGGGGGCACCACCCGGGCGGCCGCGCGCCGCTCCGCTGCCCACCGACACGCGCGGCCGCCCACCGAGGACGACGCCCACGGCTGACGGCTCAGCAGGCCCGCGAGACGCCAGAGTAGCAAAATGACGCTTTATTCCCCCACCCCAGGTTGGCCGGGCCCTCCCGCGCGTGTCCGCGCCAGGCTCCCCCTGCGCCCACCGCGCCGACCTGCCCAGCGCGCAGCCAGGGGGGTGGAGGGATCACAGGCCCGCGGGGAGCCCCGGGTCAGGGGCGAGCAGGGCATCTCCTCTGTCTCCGGATGAGGACACACCTGTGCGACCCCCGACACTGGGTCTAAGGAGGAGGGTCTGGAGGAGGAGGGCAGAAATAAGGCCTGGACGTCTCCCACGATCCACCCCCTCCAGCACCACCACCTCCGTGTCCTGTTCTTGGAAGCTGCTGGTCCTGTCTGATCTTTCCGTCACCCACGTCCCCCTCCGTTAGTTGGCCGGGCCTGCGGGGACCAGATGGGATGCCGGGGACGGAGCTCCGCGGGGAGCCTGCGTGCAAGGCGAGGAAGAGCTCTAGGCCAATGCGTAGGGCGTTGGCATTGCACGCTGTGGACCCGGGTTCCATCCTGGGCATCCCATACGGTCCCCCCAGCACTGCTGGGAGTCATTCCTGAGTGCAGAGCCAGGAGGAACCCCTGAGCACTGCTGGGTGTGACCCCAAATCAAATAACAAATAGCAAGTAAGTGCCTCAATCCTCTGGACCATCTCTCTCTTCCCTGGCTCTGCCAGGACTTCAGCCCTTTTTTTTTTTTTTTTTTTTTTGGCGTCATACCCGGTGATGCACAGGGGTTCCTCCTGGCTCATGCACTCAGGAATGACTCCTGGGGTACTCGGGGGACCATATGGGATGCTGGGAATCCAACCCGGGTCCTCCGGGTGCAAGGCAAACGCCCTTCCTGCTGTGCTATTGCTCCAACCCCTCAGCCTCCTCTTCTGGCCTCCCTGTTCTCTGTACCTCGGGAGGCCCCACAGGAGACCCGCCGCTAGTTGGATGCTGTTTCGTGTTCCTGGTCAATGTCCTGTTCCGTCTCGGGCTCCTCCTTTAGTCTCTGACGGATCTCGTCAGCCTCCAGCCGCTCCTCCTCCTCGTAGAAGTCCTTGTCCAGGCGCTCGAGGTTCGCCATCTGCACCAGGGCCTCCTGGCGGTACTCGCTTTCCTCCGCACACGGGTTCTCCAGCAGTACCAGGGCGCGCAGCTTGGGCAGCTCCCGGAGCTTGGCCAGCTCGCTCAGGTCGGAGACCATGTTGCCCCTGTGAGTGCAGTCCGGAGGGGTCCCCAGGACAGGGTTGTGCCAACAAGCTACCAGGAGGCGCCCCTCGGGGGACCGCTCCTGCTGGGCTCTGGGGGCGGCCCTGTGCTGTCCAGCCACGCCCACCTGACGGGGCAAGCGCCCTACTCGCTGCATTATAGCTCCAGCCGCAGACCATGACCAGTGGGGTCCTATTTGCCCCCTTTGTTTTTGTTCTTTTTTGCTTTTTGGGTCACACCCGGCGATGCTCAGGGGTTACTCCTGGCTCTGCATTCAGGAATTACTCCTGGCGGTGCTCGGGGGACCATATGGGATGCTGGGAATCGAACCCGCGTCAGCCCCGTGCAAGGCAAACGCCCTACCCGCTGTGCTATCGCTCAAGCCCCTATTTGCCCCGTTGGGTCAGCCAAGCTGTATCACAGGGGTAGCTGGGCAGCAGGGGAAACTGCCCTGGTAAGGAGGGAGTGTTTCTGTGCCAGTCACACCTGATCTGACGTTAGGGTGGAGAACTGGAATCTACACTGGGCTGGGATAAGGCAGGGGGAAGGGCCGTGTGTCCTTCTCTGCCTAGGAAGAATCCCAGGGTTAGGCCTCTAGCTTCTGCTCCTGTTAGGCAAATGCTGATTATCTTCATAGTCTTGCCTGCAGACTTCATGTGGTCAAATTTAAATGTGTCCAAGGGCTGGACCAATAGCAGAGCTGGTAGGGCATTTGCCTTGCACGCGGCCGATCTCAGGTTCAATTCCCAGCATCCCATTGGTCCTCTGAGCACTGACCACCAGGGGTAATTCCTCAGTGCAGAGCCAGGAGTAACCCCTGTGCATCGCCGGTGTGACCACCCAAAAAAAATTTTAAGTGTGTCCGCCTTATCTGCCTTTTTTTTTTGGTGGTGGTGCTCAGGGGCAAAGCCTGACAAGCTACCGTGATGTATTCAATATGCCAAACACCGTAACAAGTCTCGTGATGGAGACATTACTGGGCCCACTCGAGCAAATCGATGAACAATGGGAGGACAGTGCAGTGCAGGTGCTCAGGGGACCCTGTGGGATGCTGTGGATCAAACTCGATTCATCCCCAGCTGGGCTGCGTGCAAGGCAAATGCCCTACCTGTTGTACTATTGCTCTGGCTCCCCTGTCTTATCTGCTTTAACAAGGGACCCACTTCTGCAGTTTCGCACCAGATCTGTTGAACCTGGTGCACACCTTAGGGTGCCTCGAAGAAAATTGACAGCTTTGGCCCGAGAGACAGCCCCAAAGTCAGTGAGATCCCCGCCCTCCCTCCATCCTCCTTTATCAGTCATTGAGAGGCCAGAGCAATAGTCTACTGGGCAGGATACTTGCCTTTGCACACAGCCAAGCGGGGTTCCCTCAAGTCCCCCCAGGAGTGATCCCTGAGCACAGAACAAGGAGTAATCCCTAAGCATTGCCAGGTGTGGCCCCCCCCCAAACAAAAATAAAAAGTCACCAAGGGGCTGGAGTGATAGCACAGTTGGTAGGATGTTTGCCTTGCACACGGCCGACCTGGGTTCGATTCCCAGCATCCCCTGTGGTTCCTTGAGCATCGCCAGGAGTAATCCCTGAGTGCAAAGCCAGGAGTGACCCCTGTGCATCGCCAGATGTAACCCAACAAGAAAAAAAAATAATTACCAAGCAGGGCCCAGCACCCTAGTCTAGAGCATGATCAGGGAAACAGCACCCCCCAAGCCCTACCAGAACTATGTGACAAAGAAGATGGGCCAGGAGGGACCCCAAGACTCTGGGGAAGCTGAGCTTGAGTCTGGCGCCTTAGACCACTCGGCCATCCTGACACCCTACTGGGGCAGGAACTGGGACTTCAAAATGCACTCACCTCCCTCTCCTTGAAGGTTCTCCTCCCACTGGCCCCCTGGAGGCTGGGCCTTGGGGACAGAGGAGGCAGTTTCCTCACATCTTTTGTTTGTTTGTTTGTTTGTTTTGGTTTTAGGGCCATGCCCAGAGATGCTCAGGGGTTACTCCTGGTTCTGTGCTCAGGAATCACTCCTGTCAGTGCTTGGGGACCATATGGGATGCCAGAGATCAAGTCCAAGTTGACCATGTGCAAGGCAAATGCCCTGCCCTCCGTGCTATCACTCCAGTCCCTTCTTACATGTCTTTTGCTGTTTGTTTTGTTTGGGCGTTTTGTTTGGAGGTCACATCCGGTAGTCTCAGGGTCTACTCCTGGCTAAGTGCTCAGGGATTTTCCTGGCTGACTCAGGGGACCATATGCGTTGCCAGGGATTGAACCTGAGATCAACCGTATGAGTTGATCACATGCAAAGCAGAAACCCTAACCACTGTACTATCTCTCGGGGGCCGGAGCAATAGTACAGCGGGTAGGGTGTTTGCCTTGCATGTAGCCAACCTGGGTTCGATCCCTGGCATCCCATATGGTCCCCCGAGCACTGTCAGGAGTAATTCCTGAGTGCAGAGCCAGGGGTAACCCCTGAACATCACCGGGGTGTGACCCAAAAAGCAATAAATAAATAAATCTTACAGAAAGAAAGGAGAAAGGAAGGAAGGAAGGAAGGAAGGAAGGAAGGAAGGAAGGAAGGAAGCAAGCTTGGGGAGAGCACACAATAGGTTGAGCAAATGGTCTGCATCTGGGAGATCCCAGTTCAAATCCATGCCCTCCATCATGTATGGTGTCCTGAGAACTGGGCAAGGAATAGCCCTCACCACTATAGCGTGTGAGCCCAAACTCAAAATCAGTATATTAAGGGATGAGAGGTAGTCCAGTGGGTAGGGTGCTCCCTTGCACACGAACAACTTGGGTTCAATTCCTGGCATCCCCTATGATCCCCCGAACACTGCCAGGAGTGATTCCTGAGTGCAGAGCCAGGAGTAAGCCCTGAGGATCACAGGCATAGCCAAAAGCATAAACAAAATAAATGAACGAAAAGAGTGGGGAGGGAGGGATGTGACTCAGTGCGAGAGCACATGTTTCACATGCAGGAGACACATTCCCCGCATTGAGGGAAAGGAAGTGGGTTGGGGAAAAAACTAGTAAAGAAAAGGAGCTGTTGTAGATTATAAATCCCTAGGAATAGGGGCTGGAGAGATAGCACAGTGGGTAGGGGGTTTGCCTTGCATGCGGCCGACCCGGGTTCGATTCCCAGCATCCCATATGGCCCCCTGAGCACCGCCCGGGGTCATTCCTGAATGCAGAGCCAGGAGTAACCCCTGTGCATCACCGGGTGTGACCCCAAAAAGGAAAAACAAACAAAAAAAGTCCCTAGGAATAAGGACCAATTTGGAGGCCAGAGACTTAGTATAGTGGGAAAGTCACTTGCCTCGCATGTGGCCAACTGGGGTTCAATCCCCAGCACCCTGTATGTTCCATTGATCACTGCCAGGACTGAATGTGAAGTAAGGATTGATTCTGGAGTAAGCCCTGAACACCACCAGTATGATCAAAACAAAACAAAATAAACAAACTAAAAAGAATGAGGCCCAGGGGCTGGAGCCATAGCACGGCGTGTAGGGCGTTTGCCTTGCACACGGCCAACCTGGGTTCGACCCCCGTTATCCCATATGCCCCCCCAAGCACCGCCAGGAGTCAGGAGTAATTCCTGAGTGCAGATCCAGGAATAACCCCTGAGCATTGCTGGGTGTGATCCAAAAAGAAAAAAAAAAAAGAATGAGGCCCAACCAGTTCAGGTAAGGATGGATTCAGTGGGAGAATGGCTGGCTTGCACACATGGGGCCCTGAGTTTGACCCCCAAATAGCACATTCAAAAAAGAACCATCACAGGGCCAGAGAGGTCATACAGTGGGTCAGGCACACAGGACCACCAGGCTTCAATCCCAGCATCCTGTATGATCCCCCAAGCACTGCCAGGAGTGATTCCTGAGTGCAGAGCCAGGAGTAAACCCTGAGCATCGCTGGCTGTGACCCCAAAACTAAAACCAAACCAACAACAACAAAAAAAACAATGATCGGGCCAGAGTAGTAGTACAGCAGGCAGGGTGTTTGCCTTGCATGCGGCCGATCCAGGTTTGACCCCCAGCATCCCATATGGTCTCCTGAGCACTGCCAGGAGTGATTCCTGAGTGCAGAGCCAGGAGTAAACCCTGAGTATCGCTGGGTGTGGCCCAAAAAGCAAAAAAGAAAAAAAAAAAAAGCGCAAGGATCTGATTCCTTTAAAAAGGAATCATATTCCTGAAAAAAAAAAAAAAAAAAACACAAGGCCTGATACAGCACATTCTGCATAACTTGCCGATGGCGAGAGTAAGGATTCTGTAGCCTCAGATGAAGAGAGTTCTGGTGATGCAGTTAGGTCTAGACTGCAGAGAGAGGCTGCAGAAAGGAGGAAGTGGGGAGCAGGAGGGAGATGGGGTGGGGGAAAACCTGGCAATTTTCTAGGACAGGGGAACACAGTCCACAGCTACTTCTTATCAGGGATTGGGGTGAGGCCCGGAGGGTGCATACCTCAGGTTGATGTACTGCAGGGACTTCATTTCCTTGGAGAAGCCGTTCAGCGTTTCGATCATGTTGTCTCGGAGATGCAAGGTCGTGAGGTTGCTCAGGTTCTCCAAGCCTTCCACCTTTATCAGCTGGTTTTGGGCCTAGAACCCCAGGGAGAGCAGGTGGATCAGGAGTCAGGAAAGGGAGGGGAAGGAAAGTCAGAGAGAGTGCAAAGCCGGGGGGTCAGGACAGGGGTAAGGCACTGTGTCAACACCTGGAGCACTGCTGGGTATGAAGCCCAAGCAAGAGCCAGGAGTAACACTGGTGGCTGTGGTGCAATCTTCCCACTCCCAACCTTAAACACACACACACACACACACACACACACACACACACACACACGCACACACAAGTCTAGAACTGAACTTAGAGCTCCATAGGCTGAGGACATGCTTTCTCCAGAACTGCATGGGCCCCCAAGCATGCTGAGAACAACCCCAAGCACCATCATGGCCTAAAGCGACTGACCCAGGTTCTAGCCCCAGCATTCCATATGGTCCCCCAAGCACCGCTGGGAAGTAATTCTTGGGTTCAGGGCCAGGAGTAACCCCTGAGCATTGTCAGGTGTGGCCCCCAACACTCCCCAGCACCTCCCCCCCCCCCAAAAAAAAACAATTTATTGATTTGTATTATACTTTTTATTTTCACTTTTGGGCCACACCTAAAGGTGCCCGGTGCTTACTCCTAGCTCTGTGCTCAGGGATCACTTCTTTTTTTTTTTCTTTTTTGGGTCACACCCGGCAATGCTCAAGGGTTAGTCCCGGCTTTGCACTCAGGAATCACTCCTGGTGGTGCTCAGGGGACCATATGGGATGCTGGGAATCAAACCTGGGTCGGCCACGTGCAAGGCAAATGCCCTACCGCTGTGCTATTGCTCCAGCCCCAGGGATCACTTCTGACAGACTCAGGATACCATATACAGTGCTGGGAATTGAACCTGGGTTGTCTGGTGCAAGGCAAGTTCCCTATCTGTTGTACTATCACCCTGGCCTTCTTTTTCATTTTTCTTTTTTTTTGGGGGGGGTGAGGATTTGTGGGTATGGGCAACATGCAGCAGTGCTCAGGGCTTAATCCTGGCTCGGAGCTCAGGCATCCTTCCTAGTGGAGCTGGGAAACCATAGAGGGTAACAGGGATCAAACCTAGGTTGGGTTTGGGCAAGCACCTTACCCACTGCGCTCTTTCTCTCCAGCCCCTGAATTACGTTATTATTTGTTTTTTAATAGGGGTCACTTTGGGCACTGCTCTGGGTTCACTAGGGCCAATATTCAGTGGCAGTATGAAAGCCACACAGAGCCAGGGATGAAACTAAGAGACCCACATGCGCAAGGCAGATGCTCTGTTCCATTGAGCCAAATCTCCAAAGTCAATGTCATATTTTGACTCTGTTCCTTTGTTTGACACTGGGCCACACCCAGCAATACTCAAGTGTTCTTCCTGGCTCTCAGGAATTACTCCTGGTGGTGCTCAGGGGACCCTATGGGATGCTGGGGATTGAACCCGGGTGGACACAGGCGAGGCAAACACCCTCCCCTCCCCACCCCCGCTATATTATCACCCCTGTGTCTCCCTTGTCTGTTTCCACTTTGGTTTTTTTTTTCTTTTTGGGTCACACCCAGCGATGCACAGGGGTTCCTCCTGGCTCATGTATTCAGGAATCACTCCTGGTGGTGCTCAGGGGATCCTATGGGATGCTGGGAATTGAACCCAGGTCTGCTGTGTGCAAGGCAAATGCCCTACCCGCTGTGCTATCGCTCCAGCCCGGTTCCACTTTGTAACCCCACCTCATGTGGCACCCAGTAAGCGCTGAGTAAGTAACAGGGCAGGGAAACAGCTCAAGTGGCAGAGGACATGCCGACGCTGTACGAGGTCCTGAACGGGATCGCTGGCACCTCATGGTCACCCAAAGCACCACCACGTGTAGCCTTGGTGGCCCCCAAGCCACCAGGCAATGAGATCCGCTCTACCAGGGAGAGTGAGGCTAGCAGTGGCTCCATCAGCCCAACTGAAGGCCCCCAACAAAACACCAAAGCACGGGACTGGAGTGATAGCACAGCGGGTAGGCATTTGCCTTGCATGCAGCCAACATGGCCGACCCAGGTTCGATTCCCAGCATCCCATAGGGTCCCCCGAGCACTGCCAGGAGTGATTCCTGACTGCATGAGCCAGGGCTTAGACAAAACACCAAAGCACAAATGATGAAGCTCTGGAGTTCCCGGACACTACCAGGAAGAGGTTCTTCAGCTTCGGAAGATTGATTCCCAGCGTGCTGGTCAGCTGGTTCCCTCGGAGCTCAAGCGTCTGCAGGTTCTGTAGCTTTTGGGAATCCAGACTGGTCAATGCTTGGATACGGTTCCCTGCGGAGCAGGAAGAGGGTGTCAGGGACTCAAAGGGCCACTCCGCATGTTCCCCCATCAGAGCCTGAATCGGGAGAGGCCCTGAGTCACCCAGTCCCTCTAGTGCTGGGTAGATCCAGTGGACGGAACATTTGTGGGCTGTACCCTGGAGGAAGTGGTACAACCCGTGGCAGTCCAGGGTCTGATGGACTTGCCCAGCAAAACCTTTGAGGGGTGACGGAAGAGCGTCCAGGTTGCCACGTAGCTTACCTCCCTTTGGCATTCCTTTGATGGAATGCCAGTCTTTACTGGAATGCCAACTGGAATGCCAATCTCTCAAGGATTTCTTTTTTTTTTTTTTTTTTTTTTTTTGCTTTCTGGATCACACCCGGCGATGCACAGGGGTTACTCCTGGTTCTGCACTCAGGAATCACTCCTGGCGGTGCTCAGGGGACCATATGGGATTCTGGGAATCGAACCTGGGTCGGCTGCGTGCAAGGCAAACGCCCTACCCGCTGTGCTATCTCTCCAGCCCCTCAAGGATATATTTTAAAAGGGGGGGGGGGAACAGAGGGATAGCACAGTGGGGAGAGCATTTCCCTTGCTTGTGACTGACCCGGGTTCAATCCCAGGCATCCCATAGGGTCCCTGAGCACCGCCAGGAGTAATTCCTGAGTGCAGAGCCAGGAGGAGCATTGCTGGGTTTGGCCCGAAAAGAAAATTAAAAAAATCTCTCAAGGATATTTGCCCAAAGCAACCGGTTCATTTGGTTTGTTGGTTGTTGGTTGTTGGTTTTGGCTTTGGGGATGGGACATACCTTGTAGTGCTGGGGCCGGGGGTCTGCTACTCAGGCATGCAGCTCAGGACGTGCTCCCAGAGGCTGGGGAGGGGAGCTAGGATTTCAGCCTGCAAAGAAGGTGCTCCAGCCATCTCCCTGGCTTCACTGCTATTGTTTGTTTTGGGGTCACACTCAGGGATGCTCAGGACTTACTCCCAGCTCTGTGCTCAGGAATTACTCCTGGAAGTACTCAAGGGACCAGATGGGGTGCCAGTAATCAAACCTGGGTGGGCGATATGCCAGGCAAGTGCCCTAACGTGCTGTACTATCTCTTCAGCCCCCCTCCCTGTTATCTTTCTCCCACGGCTAGAATATAAGAGACTTAAGAATAAGGATTTGGGGGACTGCAGTGATAGAACAGCGGGTAGGGTGTCTGCCTTGCAAGCGGCTGAACCGGGTTTGATTCCCAGCATCCCATATGGTCCCCAGAGCACCGTCAGGAATAATTCCTGAGTGCAGAGCCAGGAGGAACCCCTGAGAAACACTGGGGGTGGCCCAGAAAAAAAAATAATATTTAGGGGTTGGGATTGTGGCTCAGTCCTAGAGGATATGCCCTACATCTGTGAGGCTCTGGGTTCAATTCCTGGTACAGCCAAAGAAAATAATTGAGAGTCAGCTGTTCATCTTCCATCCTTTCTTCCTGCCCTCCCTCCTTCTTTTTATTTTTGGGCAGCACCCATCTGTGCTTAGGGCTTACTGCTAGCTCTGAGCTCAGGAACCACTTACTACCTAGCAGTGCTGGCGAACAATATGAGATTCCAGGGATCTCATCCAAGCCGCGGGGCCAGAGCGATAATACAGCAGGGAGGGCATTTGCCTTGTATGTGGCCAACCCAGGTTCGATCCCTGGCATCCCATCCATCCCCCAAGCACTGACAGGAGTAATTCCTGAGTACAGAGCCAGGAGCAACCCCTGAGCATTGCTGGGTGTGACCCCCCCCCCAAAAAAGAACCAAGTCAGGTACCTGCAAGGTAAGCCCTGCTGTACTCTCTTGTGCTCTCTCCCCCTCAGGTCCTTTTTGTGTGTTTGGTTGGTTTTTCGGGACACAGCCCATGTTGCTCAGGGGTCACTCCACTGTGAGGGACTCCCAAAGTAAAGCATGTACTCCAGCCTTTTGCACCATCTCAATGATGCTCTTTTTTTTTTTTCAGAGTTGAAAAAAAAAAAAGATTTACAAGAAAGTAGAAGGGAAAGAACAAGAAACTCCCCAGCCAGGGAGAAACTTAGTATAGGACTAAGGTTTTTTTTTTTTCTTTTTGGGTTATACCCAGCGATTCACAAGGGTTCCTCCTGGCTCTGCACTCAGGAATTACTCCTGGCGGTGCTTCAGGGGACCATATGGGATGCTGGGAATCGAACCCAGGTCAGCCGCGTGCAAGGCCAATGCCCTAACCCCTGTGCTATCACTCCAGCCCCTAGGACTAAGTTTTGACCTCTTCTAGTTTTTTTCAGTTTACTTGTTTGTTTTGGGGGCCACATCTAACAGTACTCAGGAATTACTTCTGGCTTACGTCTAGCTCTGCACTCCTGCTGGGGCTCGGGGGACCATACGGGGTGCCGGGATCAAACTCAGGTTTGGTGCATACAAGCAAACGTCCTCCCCACTGTACTACTGCTCTGGCCCAGTTCTGGCCTCGCGTTCCTTTAAAATTTCCCAGTATTCCCACCTGCCCCTGCTTTTTTTTTTCTTTTTGGGTCACACCCAGCGATGCTCAGGGGTTCCTCCTGGCTCTGCACTCAGGAATTCCTCCTGGTGGTGCTCGGGAGACCATATGGGATGCTGGGAATCGAACCTGGGTTGGCCATGTTGGCTGCATGCAAGGCAAACGCCCTACCCGCTGTGCTATGGCTCCAGCCCCCCTGCTTTTCACTTTAGTTTATTTTTTTACTGTTGTTACTGGTCAGGAGCGATAGCACAGTGGGGAAGACGTTTGCCTTGCATGTGGCCAACCCGGGTTCGATTCTTTTCCCGTCAAGCTACCGAGAGTATCCCGCCCACAAGGCAAAGCCTGGCAAGCTCCCCACGGCGTATTCGACATGCCAAAAATAGTAACAAGTCTCACAATGGAGACGTTACTGGTGCCTGCTCGAGCAAATCGATGAACAACGGGAGGACAGTGCTACAGTGCTACTGTTGTGACCGGGATTCAAATACACACTTAGCCAAGTGTTCACCAGAGGTCACACGAACACACTCCAGTTGTGGTGCTTGTACACGCTTGGCTTGGTGTGCCAGAAACTGAAGGTCACACCTGGAATCCAGCTTCCCCTGGATCACCCCCTCTCATGTGAGGTGGTGCCAGGGATCAAACTCTGGCCTTCCAGCTCAGATAGAGAAGGGAGCACCAAATAAAGGGTGTTGGGAGGATCCTCCCAGGATGGGAGAAGCATGCTGAAAGTAGACTATAAACCGAACATGATTGCCACTCAATGCCTCTTTTGCAAACCACAGCACCCAAAAGGAGAGAGAGAACAAAAGGGAATGCCCTGCCACAGAAGCGGGATGGGGATGGGAGGGATACTGGGATCAGTGGTGGTGGGAAATGGGCACTGGTGGAGGGATGGGTACTCGATCATTGTATAACTGAAACCCAAGCACAAGAATTTTTTTTTCTTTTTGGGTCACACCCAGCGATGCTCAGGGGTTACTCCTGGCTCATGCACTCAGGAATTGCTCCTGGTGGTGCTCGGGGGACCATATGGGATGCTGGGAATCGAACCTGTGTCGGCCATGTTGGCTGCGTGCAAGGCAAACGCCTTACCTGCTGTGCTATCGCTCCAGCCCCAAGCACAAGAATTTTTAAGTCTACAACTATACCTCATGGTGTTTCACTAATAAAAATTTTTTTAAAAAATCATGCATTAAAAAAAAAAAACCCTCTGGCCTTCACTCTTGCAAGACAGGTTTTACCGCCACTGAGCCATCCCAGGACCCAATGGAAATTTTCTTGATTTTGTTTTGCTTTTGTTTGGTTTTGGGGTCACGCCCGGCAGTGCTTGGGGTTACTCCTGATTCTGCACTCAGAAATTATTCCTGATGAGCTCAGGGGGCCATATGGGTGCCGGGGATCAAACCCAGGTTGGCCACGTGCAAAGCAAGGGCCCTCCCCGCTATACTATTGCTCCGGTCCGGATTTTCTTTATTTTTCTCACTCTTCTCCCCCAGCAGACAGAACTGTCATCATGAATCATAGCCAAGTGTTGGAACCAGGCATGGAGGCAGATGGCTGTGGGGTATTCCAACAATTACACCGCCAGCTTCTGTTGGCCCCAGGCAAGGAAGGAAGGAATCTCGTCTGTGGACCATCGTAAGGACCCACCCACCTTTGAGGTCCAGGCTCGTCAGACGGGGATGCGAGATGCCCTCGGTGTCCGTGATCTGGTTGAAGGCAAAGCTGACGATCTGCAGATAGGGCAGCTCGTGGAGCCGGGCGCTTCGTAGCTGGTTGTTATCAGCCTTGAGCCACAACAGGTGGGTCAGGTGGTTGAGGGGGGACAAGTCGACCAGGTGGTTTTCAGAGATATCCACATAGCGCAGGTGGATGTAGGACTGCAGCAAGGTGATGTCTGTGAGGTCCCTAGGGGTCGGTAAAAGCCGCATCAGGGAAGCCGACCCGTGCGGCGGGAGCGAAGGATGACAGGGAGGTGCGGGGGGTGGCTGGCTTGCCGTCTAGTGGGGAAAAGGGAACACAGAGGGGGCAGGGCGAGGGTTCGGGCTGGGTGGGGAGAAAGAGGAAGAGAACGAAGATGGACTCTTTTGCTAGTTTTAGCACCACACCCAGTAGTGTTTGGTCTCATACTCTGGGGCCACTTCAGATGGTGCTTGGGGGACCAGGCAGGGCCAGGGAACTACCCAGGTGATCCAACTTGGTCCTTTAGGACCAGAGAGATAGTACACACAGCAGGGAAGGTGCTGGCCTTGCTTGTCCAGGTTGGATCCGTGGCACCACATATGGTCCCCTGAGTACTGCAGAATCATAATTAAAAAAAATCTTGAGCTGGAGTGATAGTATAGTGGGTAGGGCATTTGCCTTGCATGCGGCCAACATGGATTCATTCACTGGCATCCCTTTAGGGTTCCCTGAGCACTACCAGGAGTAACTCCTCAGTGTAAAGTCAGGAGTAATCCCTGAGCATTGCTGGGTGTGACACCACCCCCTCCCAATAAAAAGCAAAAAAAACCCCAAACAAACAAACTCTGTCAGTGCTACCTCTCTGACCCTGATAGGTGAATTTTTCTTTCTTTTTTGGTGGGAGGGGGTCATAGGGTCATACCGAGTGTTGCTCAGAGGTCACTCCTGACAGTGCTCAGGGAACCATATTCTTTGTGCCAGAAATGGAATGAGAGTTGGCTACCACATTTACTCTCCCTCTTCCTCCTTCCATCTATCTCTCCCTCCTTTCCTTCATTTCTCTCTCTCTATCTCTCTCTATCATCTTTGAGCTATACCCTGGAGCCCTTCACCCTTCAGTGCTCAGGGCTATTCCAAGCTCTATGTCCAGGAGTGGGCCCTGGTGTTCAGGGGACCATATCCAGTTCCAGGGATTCAACCAGGGTCGGTTGCCTACAATGCAAGCACCTTACCCACTGTACTCTCTCTCTATCCCAGTAAGTGGAGTTTTTTCTTTGGTTTGAGGTCACACCTGGCAATGCTCCGGGGTTACTCCTGGCTCTGCACCCAGGAATTACTCCTGGTGATGCTCAGGGGATCATATGGGGTGCCAGTGATCAAACCCAGGTCAGCCGAATGCAAGGCAAGAGCCCTACCCGCTGTACTATTATTGCTCTGACCGTATATTGTTGGTTTTTCTGCTGGTTTTTGGTTTGGGGGCCATACTCAGCTGTGCTCAGAATTTACTCCTGCCTCTGTGCTCAGACATCACTTCTGGTGGGACTCAGGGGACCATATGGGGTGCTCGAGATGGAACCTAGGTCAGCTGCATGCCAAGCAAGTGCCTTACCCACTATACTATCACTGGAATCCAATAAGTGGATCCTTTTTTGGGGGGGGGGGGGGTCACACCCAGCAATGCTCAGGGGTTACTCCTGGCTCGTGCACTCAGGAATTACTCCTGGCAGTGCTCGGGGGACCTTATGGGTTACTGGAAATTGAATCCTGGTTGGCCACGTGCAAGGCAACGGCCCTACCCGCTGTGCTATCGCTCCAGCCCCAATAAGTGGATCCTTAATGGTGAGCAGGGACCTTGTGTCTGCCAGGAACCCTGCAGGACACCCCTAACCCTCCTGCAGCCTCCTCTGTTCCCTAAGCCAGCTTAGAAAATTGCAGGACACCTGAAAAGCCCATTCTCCTTCCCTTTCCACTGGCCCAGGATGAGAGGACCCCAAACCCTCAGCTCTGATCGAAGGAAGAAGAGAGAGACGGGGGTCCCGAGAGCCCACACTCCTGGTCGGGGCTAAGCGCACCTGTCTCTGACCTCCAGCCTGACAAAAGCGTGAGCCAGTCCGGAGCCCGTCTTACACAGCATAGAAAGCCCTTCCTTCATCATGTCCTCCGAGAGAGGGGTGGGCACCCAGTGCTGGAGGGAGGGGGGGAAGCGGGCAGGGGGATTGGTCAGTGGCCCCCTCTGTGCCCAACCCCACGCCTCCGCCCGCCCTCGGGGGACCCCTCGGGCTCTGCGCTCGCTGGCTCTCACTTCCTCCTCCGACAATTCCTCCCCCTCTATCCGCGAGCTGGTCAACTCCTCCGTGTCCTTGTCGTCGTCCTCTTTCTCGACATCGGTCTGGTCGCCTTCGAAGTCTTCCAGATCGAGGTCTGACATCTTCCTTCCCCGCGGGGGACGCTGCTGCCGTCAGACCAGTAGGGTCTTGTCCAGCTGCTGAGAAAGATGGACTTTCTCAGCCTCCCCGGGTGTCCCCCCACAGCCTCGCCCCCAGCCCCCAGCCCCCAGCATCATCCCCTTTGCATTCCTACAACAACGTCCCCTCCCATGCGTCCAGGAGATGCTGTCCCAGACCCCTGGGGTCCTTGGTGGCCTTGACCAGAGCTGCAAGTTGCTCCCGCTCCCCCCCCCCCCCATCAGTTCCTGGACTCCCCTCTTCTCTCCTGTCCCCCTTAGGCCAGCTCTCGCCTCGCCTCCCCCCCTCATCCCTCACCCCTGCTCTTTTCACCTGTCCTAACGTGCCCACCCCCCAGTGTCCCGTTTGTCCCGGGCGCTCGGGGGTGCCAGCCTGACCACTCAGCCTCCAACCTTCCCACCTGATCCTGTTTGGTAAAAAATAATAATAATAATAATAATTTTAAAAAATAATAATAATAAAGGAGGAGCGCCGAGGTTCTGCTCCACCAGAAGCGCGGCGGGGAGGGTGGTCTCGAGAGGGTACAAACACCCCGAGAGGGAAGGGGTGTTTGGGATGCGTGGCAAGGCTTAGGGAAAGGAGGCGTTGTGTGCTGTTGTCATGGCAACGGGGGGCTGCACCGGCGCCGAGCTACGGAGGCCGGTGACTGCAGAGCCGCGACTCGCGCAACCTGAGGTCCGCAGCGCTGCCCGCGGGTCTCTGGTTGCCTGGTAACGGGGCCACGTTCCGGGTCCAGGAAGTCGGCCGGAGCGCGCTCATTGGCCGAGAGCAGAAGCAGTGGGCGGGGCTTACGGCGGCGCGGAGGCGAGGGTGGGGTAGGGTCGGCGGGGGAGCCATTACGTCACGCGAGACGTTAAAGGGACCGACGTTCTCAAGGCGCAAGAGCTGTCGATGCCAAAGAAAGACGCCCTCAAGCAATCGCAAGGGAGGAGAAGCAAGAAATATCATAGTAAAGGGTCTGGTGGCCCTCATCTACCCCACCCCGCACAGGGTCCCCGGCCCCATCGTTAGTTATTTTCAGGCAGAGCTTCGGAAGATGAATTGATGGATTAAAATGAACCCAGAATTAATTAGGAGATCTGCAGTGAGAGATTTGCAAGATACTAGCAATTTTCTTAAGACTCCACTTTTTCGTCTATAAAACAGGCTTAAGTACGCCAGCCGACTGGGCAGTGAATATGAATGTATTCGACCAGAGCTAAGAGCAATTGATGCCTTAAACCCAGCTTGGGCGTTTTCCCCTCCTGCGCATCTCTGGAACTGGTTTGATGCTTGCCCAAACGGGGAACAGCGGCTCTCCATCCAGCGTTATTAAATAATAGATCAAACCAGGGCATGCAGACCTCTGTGTGTGTTGAAGAAGATGGAGAGATAGATTGGGGATGCAACAAATATCTCTGGCTAGTTGATGCCAGACAGAGAGACTGTTTCTTTTCACAAGTGTTACTTAATCTCCACACCAGTGCTGGGAGATAATTTGAAAGAAGAGAGAACTAAGGCTCCAGCAGGTGAATGGATGTATCACCAAGCATACAGAACCCAGTACGATAATAACTTAGTAGTCTGGCCGGAGATATAGAAAAGGCACTTGATTTGCACATGGCTGACCCAGGTTTGATCCCAGGGTTCCCGTATGGTCCCCCAAACACTCCAGGAGTGATCCCTGAGTGTAAAGCCAAAAGTAAGCCCTGAGCACCGCCAACTAAAGCCATAGTAACTTCGACATTATCTGGACTTCTGTGTGTTGAGCTCGGAGGAGTAGCTCACTTAGGCTGCTGTCAATTGGAATTACCATGACGATTCACTGCAGGGCCAGAGCTATAGCATAAGGGATAAAGGTGCTGGCCTTGCATGCGACTACCCAGGCTCAATCCCTGACACTGAATATGACTCCCCAACCCCCTCTTTTTTTTTTAGATATTATTAGATTTTTTTATGTAGGAGTACTGCTATTTATTCAGCCACCGATTAGCTAATTGAATTGTGCATAAACTCCACCTTACTTTTTATTTTTATAATTTTATTTACTGAATCACCGTGAGAGCAGTTACAAAACTTTCGGGTCTAAGTCTCGGTCATACAATGAAACACCTGTACCTTCACCAGTGCCCATTCTCCACCCCCAATAACCCCAGTATACCCCCATCCCCCACCCTCCCCCCACCTGTGGGGCAGATGATTTCCACATTACTCTTTCTCTACTTTGATCACATTCAATATTTTGACACCAGACCCACCATTATTATTTGAGATTTTACCCCAACACTCAGATCTGCTGAAAAGGCACCAGTGGACAATTTTTTTTTTTTTTTTTTTTGCTTTTTGGGTCACTGGCGATGCACAAGGGTTACTCCTGGCTCTGCACTCAGGAGTTACTCCTGGCGGTGCTCAGGGGCCATATGGGATGCTCGGAATCGAACCCGGGTTGGCCGAGTGCAAGGCAAACGCCCTACCTGCTGTGCTATCTCTCCAGCCCCGACAATTTGTTTTCTATTGTCCCCAGCCTCCTCTTGGAGTTATCCTTGAGTGCAGAGTCAGGAATAAACCCTGAGAATTGCCAGGTGTGTCCCAAAAACGGAGGGGAAAAAAAAAAAACCAAAAAACCCAAGATGGTTTACTGCCAAAGCTCTTGGCAAGACAGTCCTTTACCATATGGGTTTCTCCATGGGGCAGCACTGTGGGGGGAGGGAGAGTCTCAGTATGGCCATTGGCCTCCCCAGAACAAATGACCCAAGAGAGAAAGACACGACGGTGGGGGGCTGGGAGATAGTACAGCTGGTAAGGCACTTGCCTTGCACACTGGGTTTGATCCCCAGCATCCCATATGGCCCACTGAGCCCAGCCAGGAGTAATTCCTGAGTGCGGAGACAGGAGTAAGCCTTGAGCCAAAACAAAAGGAAAGAAAGACACTGAGTGGAAGTGACTGTCATTCACACAGTATCTACTGTATTTATTTATTTATTGGGTCACACCCAGCAATGCTTGAGGGTGGCTCCTGGCTCTGCACTCAGGAATTTACTCCTGGCAGTGCTTGGGAGACCCTATGGGATGCGGGGGATTGAACCCAGGTCGGCCACATGGAAGGCAAACACCTTTCTCGCTGTTCCATCATCCTAGTCCATCCACTGTATTTGTTAGTAATGAGTTTGCAGGGGAATTAGGTTCTCCTTGCTGTTGGAAGAAAGAACAAGAAGTTGTGGATGCTGATTATTTTTGGTTTGTTTAGCTTGGGGGTACCACACCTGGAGGTCCTCAGGAGCTGCTCCCCGCTGTGTTCCGAGGATACCATATGTGGTGTCAGAGATCAAATCCTGTTCTCCAGCAAACAAAGCATCTGCTCAAGAATTCTGAGTTATTTCTACCCTAGCCCTGTGGCTTGTTTTATTTTATTTTATTTTTGGTTTGGGGCCACACCCAGCGATGCTCAGGGGTTACTCCTGGCTCTTGCACTCAGGAGTTACTACTGGCTGGGCTAGGTGGACCACATGCTCAGGGGTTTATTTATTTATTTATTTATTTATTTATTTATTTCGGGTTGGAGCGATAGCACAGCGGGTAAGGCGTTTGCCTTGCACGCAGTCGACCTGGCCCACCCAGGTTCAATTCCTCTGCCCCTCTCGGAGAGCTCTGCAAGCTACCGAGAGTATCTCGCCCACGCGGCAAAGCCTGGCAAGCTCCCCGTGACGTACTCATTATTCCAAAAACACAGAAACAAGTGTCCCAATGGAGACGTTACTGGGCCCACTCGAGCAAATTGATGAACAACGGGAGACTAGTGACAGTGACAGTGATTTATTTATTTATTTTATTACATCTGTGCTCAGGCTCACTCTTGTGGGGCTCTGGAAACCATCTGAGCTGCAGGGGAGATCCAGCCCAGAAGGGCTGTGTGCAAGGCAAGTGCCCTACCATCTGTGCTATCTCTGCAGCCTCTGTGGGCAGGGTTGAAAGCTGCTACCACAAGATACATTCCCTTCTTATGTTGTGTACATGCTGGACAATTTTCTCCTCATTTATCTTTTCGCTTTGCTTTTACAGAGTATCACCTTACAGAAACTTGAAACTTGCATGCACTCCAAACTGTCAGACTCCCAGGAGAGTATCTGGTTTAGTAAAGCCTTTCCTTTGGGGGCCGCACCTGGTGATGCTCAGGGGGTTACTCCTGGCTCTGCACTCAGGGATCACTCCTGACAGTGCTCAGGAGGGGACCCTATGGGATGCTGGAGATTGAACCTGGGTCAGCCACGTGCATGGCAAACACCCTTCCCGAGGTATACTTTTTTTTTTTTTTTTTGCTTTTTGGGTCACACCCGGCAATGCTCAGGGGTTACTCCTGGCTCATGCACTCAGGAATTACTCCTGGCGGTGCTCGGGGGACTATATGGGATGCTGGGAATCAAACTTGGGTTGACCATGTTGGCTGCATGCAAGGCAAACGCCCTACCCGCTATGCTATCGCTCCAGCCACCCCCCCCCCCGTACACTTTTATTTATTTATTTAATCTTTTTTTTTCTTTTGGGGTCACACCCAGCATTGCACTGGGGTTACTCCTGGCTCATGCACTCAGGAATTACTCCTGGCGGTGCTCAGGGGACCAATTGGGATGCTGGGAATTGAACCCGGGTCAGCCACATACAAGGCAAACGCCCTATCCACTGTGCTATCTCTCCAGCCTCTCCCCGTGGTACACTTGCTCTGGCCCCAGTAAAGCCTTTCTCGTCCTGAAGACTATAAAAATAGTCTCCTCAAAACCAGGTGATCGCACATACCCCTGACCTGCCTCCCTGACACTCACTCTTCTGTCCTGCTGCTAGCTGTGGGAATGGCATGAAGGGTCGCCCTTGGGGTTCCGGGGTCACACACTTGGTTGTGGTTTCCAAATACCTGGTTCCAGTGTGCAGGGGTGCCAGGAACCACTCTGGCTCAGGACTAGACTCCAGATTGTTGGTTTTTTTGTTTTTTAATGTAGGAGTCACTGTCA